TAGCATTGCATTAACATAAAGCTGCCAAACACTTTAAAGGTTTGTCTGAACATTAAAGTCATTCCAAATGTAAAACAGGGTAAGTTTCAAGTAGAGAATTATTTACAAGGGTCTAACTAGCTAGAGTAATTTTAGAATAGCATCAGATTTTCAGGCTTCTTTAATGTGCAATAAAACCTTAGCAGTGAGAATGGTTTGCATTGTCAAGAGATGGGTGACAAGACTCAACATCTTTCCAAGAGCAATTTTTGTATGTTAGGTGGGGGCCATTCCAGGAAGTAAATGTAGTTTGTATGGAAAGTGCATTTGGTTGATTGGTGTTAATCAAAGACTAGTTAATATGATGGTTCTAGAAAAGTTTCAGTTCATAAATAGTAAATACATTGAAAAAATTATACATCCGTAAGAATGAAGAGAAATGCGCAGCCTTTGGCTGCTTCAGTGAAAGAGTGTTTTGACAGCCTGGTGAGGTTTGTAATAGTAAATTAAGGATAGTGAACTTCAGATGTTTATCTTTTGTTTAAAGCATCCATTTCAACCTCAGTAAGCCTGTCAATGTATGTATTAAAGATAGCAGGAGCCACTTTCCTTTGGCAGTGTCAACTATCAATTTACTAATGCAAGTAAAGTTCTCTGAGCCAAAATCCATTTTTACTTTGATTGCCTTAGCTTTCTTGATATATTTCAGTATTTGGGATTATAGAAAATCTAGTTTTGAAGGGGCTTCCAGAAATCATCCAGTCCAGTCCTGACTTTCTCCTGAGAGCACAGGAGGTCAGGTTACCTTGGGTCCTGTCAAGCCAAGGAAGTCTTATATCATTTCCAGCGAGGGGAATCTTCCACTTTTCTAGGCAACCTACCTCTTCCCACGGTGAAGAACATTTTTCTTACGTCCAGACAGGATTTCCCATGAAGAAACTTGTGCTTCTTGCCCTTTGTCCTTTTACCATCTTTCTTTGTGACAAGCATACCTCCAACTTCTCTACAGCTACCTTTGAGGTGCTGGAAAACTATCAGATCCACCCTGAACCTCCTCTAATCTTTCTGAAGGACCTCGTCCTTGACCACCTTCAATTCCCCCATCCCCTTTTCTGTTCTTCCTAATCAGGCTTGGGGCACAGTGGTGGAAAGACTGGGGAAAATGGAGCTGGGGGTGTTGATCAGCACTCCTGTGAACATGAGCCAGCAGTGTGCCCAGGTGGCCAAGAAGGCCAATGACATCCCTGGAGGTGTTAAAGAAACACTTAGGTGTTGTACTGAGGGACATGGTTTAGTGGGGGAATATTGGTGGCGGATGAATGGTTGGACTGGTTGATCTTGAAGGACTTTTCCAACATTGGTGATTGTATGGTTCTGTGATTCTTCGTTTTGAGTCTGTAGTTCTTTGATTCCTTGGCTGTGTTCTTATTGAAGAACAAATATCTTTGCTGGTGGTTTGGGAATAATTTAAAGGCAAACACTTCAATTTAATATTCAAGGATGTTGAAGTAGTTTGCATTCTGTAAACTTTTCCACTTAGTTCAGTTTTAAACTTATATATATGCCTAGAAATCTAGAGGAACTGTAAAGAAAACAAACAAACAAAAATACAATATGGACAAGAATCAAATACTTGTGAAATTCTAAATTGTTATAAAAGCAAAAGAAAATCTTGGAGCAGAGTATGATTGCAACAGCGATTGCGGAGGTACTAAGAGCTTACCATCTGGCAAGGCCCTCAGTCCAGATGGATCCACTAATGACTTTTATAAAGCATTTCATCAGACTCTGCTGGAACACGACTGGCGTCTGTAATTATCCTAATTTAACAGGGTTCCAGCCTTCGATGCTAGATTCATAATCATTGGTCTTGGAAGTGAAGAAAATGTTCACTGAAATCTCTTATTAAGAAAAGCATGGATTAGGAAGAAGGTGTAATGTTAAAATGCTGCCTGGAGTTCTTGGTTCATCTTAAATGGATTGTTTGATTTTCATGTCTGTGAAGTGCCATGCACTTTTGTTGAAGACCTTCTCTGCAGATATCAGCACGCTTGTGGAATTCTCAGTTAGCTTTATGCTCCCACAAAAGCATTCAGCTGCTGGAAGGAGCAGACTGCCAGAAATCCCTTCACTTTTTTTTTTGCCTGCCCTGGAAGGAGGGGAACTTGCAATTCCCAAGCAATTGATCTCTGCTTCTTACCCTACACATGCAACTGCTCCTGTTACACTTCTCACAGACAGAAGGTTGAGAAGTGTGGGGAAGTGACTGCCACTACCAGCAAGCAGTGCCAACAGCAATAACTGCTACTTTTTCCCCTTCTGTTTTCCAGCCTAGCTAATTGTGTGGTGTGGAAGAACTGCAGATAAGGCAAGATAAATGTGAATTCCTTTTCATACAAACGTGGAAAATAGGGAGAACTTTTCTTGTGAAATTTCTGCTGCCCATCTGCCTAGATCTTGTTGGCTGTACCCTGTGCTGCGATCACTCTGCCTTACACTAATGAATCTCAAACAGCTATCTGCAGCCTTATTGCCTGTGGCTTGCAGAAAATTGCCTAGTTATAAGAGAAAGACTTTTCTGTTTCTAGCTGTTGTTCCTATTGGAAGGAAAAGGAAAGATTCCCCAGCAGTGTTGTTCTGTACCATAAATTGCTGTTGTTTGAAAACATAATCTAATCATATTTTTATCTTCCTTCAATAATAATATTTCAGTACTTTCCAGTGTAGTGATGTGATACCACAAATTGTTTAGATATAGGATCTTTGCTTAGAAAGGTTGAAGATACACACCTATATGCTGGAAGCAAAACAATGAAGTTTATACCCGTTTTTAGAGTGTGGAAGGGCAGAGAAGCCATGCCAGTTAGAGGTCTTCTGGTCTGGAGACAGGAAGCAATCCACTTGCAAACGGATTGAATAGTCACACATGCAGTTTTGCATTTTCATTGACAAACATGGCTGTCATGTATGAAGGTATTCAGAAAGTCACCAGGAATTGTTGTTGAATTTAAACTCCATTTCCTCACTCCGTAAGCCACCGTTCTGTCTGCCAAAAACAAACCCTTGGTTATCTAACAGCCAGACTGAACGTAGGCAGTTGTAGTGCATTATTGTAAAGGTTGTGAGCAGGAAATGAATGTCCTTAGTGGTTCTGAAAAATCAGGCTACTTCTTAGGTGCCAGAAACTGATACTTGGTCCTAACTTTAAATGTGCCATTAGTTGACTTCATCCATTGAAATGGATAAAGCAAATAACAGATATGTTCAGTATTTAGGTTGTAGGAAATACGTTGTTCATGCTTCCAGGAATGGAGATGCTGAACATGGGGAGATCTAGTATGTGAAAAGCAAATTGTACAGACCAATGGTAGATGTAATTAAGCTGCAATTGCGTTCTAGCAGTGAGATAGGTTGCTTCAATTAATCTTTTCCATCTGGTTTTTATGTTTTTATCACTGAAGAAGAGTAATCCAACTTAATTGTAAATGTCCCATCTTAAATATGGTGAAGTTACCCTTTATTTGCCTTATAGGTTTAGAATTAAGGTGACTAGCTGACACACAGCAAACTTTAGAATCCAAGCCTGAGAAGAAGGAAAAAATGAGCAAGCAGGAGAACCGAAAAAAAAAAGTTTCTATGGTGTGTTCTGCTGAACTTATTCTTCTTGCAAGTATTGTTCCTTAACATAAGAAAATTGTAATTTTTTTTTAACTTCCTTAATTTTTTTTAATGAATCCTTCTTAATAATTAGTATTATCTACTCCTGGGATATTAAAATATACTCAGATGCCATGAGCCATCTGTTGAGTGTCAGTTTATTAATAGGATACTTTTCCTTATTCCATCTGTAGCTCGCATATTTAGACATTATTCTAATTTGTTTCGTGGATAACAGTGTAAAACTGTCTTTGTATTCATGCTACCCTAGGGAGAGGATTTTTATTATTAACTTCCCCAGGCGAGATTTTCAAACTAGATCCTCTGGGCTTTGTCAAAGAGAATGCCTCAAGGAGTAAAGGACAGCTTGACAACAACTTGGAATCATTGCAAAGAGCACTTTTTGGTACCGTGTCAGCTACTGATAGCCTGCGTTGCTCTATTCTTAGTATGGGATAAAGTTTGCTCAATGATGGCCTTCTGTCTTTCTGTGTTGCCATGAAAATGTAAAAAATATGTTACAAGGAAAATACAGAATACATTTTTTTTTTTCCTAAATGGTGCTACTGCTTCGATCCAGAATATGTTTGACATCTAAGAGAAACGTCCCAACACAATATGGAAGTAAACATTAGAGTTCACACTTTGGCATGGAAGAGAAAGATACCATGGGCAGTCTGGTGGAGATTTCCATGTCTGAAGAGATGTGCACAGAGATGGTTTTTGATTCTGCATTAGAGTGGCTTGCAATAATGTGCCTCTGTACAGAGACTGCAGAAAGAAAAAAAGTTGAGAGGTCTGTGTTTAACAGTGTGTATAAGATAAAGTCAGTCAAAACAGTTGTACTATTGGAGTTATTGGAGTAAATCACTGGAAACCAGGGAATGATTTTTGAAACGTTAGCATTTGCTTGGATTTAGGAGAAGTCCTGTTTGTCGTGAAGGTTTTTATCGAGGTGCAATTTCTGATTGGCTGGCAGAGAAAAATGAGATAAACTAACAAAGAAGCTGTAAGTTTTGCCTTTCCCTGGGCAGCAGTGACTAAAAGCATATCTGAAAATACATGTAAATAAAAAGCCCATATAAAAATGTTGTGATTGTACTTTTCTTACATTTTCTAGTTAAAATATTATTACATGATAAGTTGTATTCTGCAATCACTGTGTCAGTCTCAAGCATTTTATCTTTTTTAGGCAGAAGGAAATAATGGGATACAGTAAGTTTTTATGGTGTTTGATAAGATCATTCCAATAAACCAAAAGGAGCTGTTTTTTTAAGAAAAATAAATTATTTTTTCAGTTTCACATTTGCATTTTTTGCTGTATTGAGACAATGTGTTGTAACTTAAACTGTGTTCTCTTTCAGCCTTGCAGTTCACCCGGATAAAACTTTAGTAGCTACAGGGCAGGTTGGAAAGGACCCTTACATTTGCATTTGGGATTCCTACCGTGTACAGACTGTTTCTGTCCTTAAGGATGCACATACACATGGAGTTGCCTGCTTAGCTTTTGATTCTGATGGCCAGGTTTGTATATCTTCTTTTTCAATGTTTTCAATTTAGTTTGACCTCTGAGCCCAAGAGACATCACTTTGAAATATTTCATCTGTACTGATAGGTGTATAGCTGTACTTAAACTACTATTATGATTAATTTTTTTTTAATGCAAGGACTGCAAATGTAGCTTTTTCAAAAACCAAAATGTCACCAAGAATTCAGTTCAAGTAGATGCATTAGTTACTGAACAAATGTCTATAAAAGAAACAGCCCTCCTTGGCTCAAATGTAATAGCTTCACTACATACTTATCACTTGCTGTTCAAGAGACCATTTCCTGGCAGAGTCATTGCAATCCTGCAGCTCTTTTGGCAGAGAAACTCCAGTAAGAGTCTCATTGGCTAAGGAGCACAGTCAGTTTAATAGAATAAAGGGGTTGGGACACAATATGTTATATGATTATGTGATGTTTTGAGGCAGGATTAAAACACAAGTAAGTGATGAGCTGTTCACGTCTAAACACATTGATTTTTTTCCCTGCAGGAGAACTAGTAAAAACATTGAATTGTAACTAAAAAGGGAGAAAAATAGATTAATTATGTGGATAAAACTGAGAAGTGTTTCATATTCAATTTTGTCCTTATCAGTCAAGTTTTCTGGTATAACACTGTGGTCATGTTTTATAGTTTGCTGCTAAAATTTTTTAGGACTAGTTAGAAAGTAAGCTGATTCCTGGATTCTTGCACAGATCTTCCTTGTTTGCTAGTGAATTGTATGACAGAAGGACAGATTTGCCTTAAAATGCTTTCCTTAAAATAAAGTCGTAGACAGTTAGCTGTCTGTAGAGCTTTACTATCATATGCCTGACTGCTCTGCGGCTGATCACAGAGTGGTTTTATTCCACTTTCTGAGATAAAAACCAGACATACAATGCCTAAAATTGTGTTCTCACATGAAACAAAAGTACTTTCTATTGTGCGTTGTGTATATTCAGTTTAAAGATCAGTGTGAGTTAAAGTACACTATCACAAGCAATTACCTGTAACACATATTCAGAAAGCTTTACTAGGCAGCACTGTGGCATGTATTTCTTTTTTAGAAATTGGAGGTAACTTTCTATTTTAAGCTTAGTTTTCAACTATCTCCTTCCATTTTTATTTTTTTAAAGTAAAACCATTTCCTCCGAAATCTCATGTGCCAACTCTAATTAAAGAAAAAGGTGTTCCTAGGAAATGTGCAGTAAAAAAATCAAATGAGAGCATCCCCAATTCACCAGGAGAAAATTTTGAATGATATAATAACCTTAACATTATTTTAATTCAGAAATAAGTATTCTTAAAATTTTCTCTTGTTTCTAACTTCATAAGAATGGTGGGTAAACCTTTAAACAGGTTTAAATCCCTGTTTAAGCACATGATAAGGATAAGCCCAGTCCATATGAGTTCAAGATGGAGACTCTTCTGAAGATGCTGCTTGTTGCCTAATGGTAATTAAAAACTGAACTTATTGGTGTGCTGACTTTGCAAAGCAGTGGCATTCTGTTTCTGGAAATGTTAGAGAAGTTGCAGATATTCTGGAATGAAGATTTGCACAGAATGCAGTTTATATCTGGAGAAGGACCAGTGCTGGAAAACATAAATGTGGATGATGCATCTTGGCTTTTACTGCTCTTTCTGGTTTACAAAAGAAGGTGCTGTGCTGAGCCAAAATTAAAGAGCTTTGACATAACTTTGAGTATGTGGAATTCAGAGCTGCTTCCACTTTATATAGTCAGCACAGTCACCTGAGGGAGGTGGCATCTTGTCACAAAACGGGCTTCATGTACATTGCTCATGTCTTTCCTTCAACTGCATACATTTCACTCATAGTGTCTATTTCTATCCTGGAAAGATTGATATTTTAGCCTCAACACAAACAAACAAAAATTCAATAGTAACATAACATACAGGTGCAAATAGTTGTATCCCTACATACTATTTTCTCAAATACCTGCTATTTTCCACTTTTAAAATAAGCATAGGCTGAGGAAAAGACCAGGTAATTCTGCTTCTCTGTGCTCAGTTCCCATAAAGACAACTCTGCTTCCTCCCACTCTGCTGCACACAGCTTCTGGTTCCGAGGGCAACCACTGTGTTGAGTGCTGCACAGCCCCAGTGTCAGAATTTAGTGTGGGTCCCAGAATGGTGACACTGCATTTATATTTTGATCGATGTAATTAGCTCTTCCTGTATCAGAAACTCTGGGGTATTTTCAAGCATTCAAATGAATTAATTCTGAAATATTACTCCCTGCTAGACTTACTCCCAGCTGGCGCTGCATGGAGACAGCTTAGGTGTCTCTGCAATGCTTCCCTGGCGTAATTAACCACAAACTGAGTAATGGAGTGTAGAAAGTATTATTTTCTGATATACAGAGGAGATCAACAAGCAGCTTGAATCAAGGATAGTTTATTTTATGTACTTTCAATAAGGACTTGAAATTTGAAAATGAATATATTTTAAGGAAATTTGCTGTTAACATTCTCTGTAATTAATGTTGCATTTTAAGAGTGCTGAAGGCAGTTAAATTCCAGCAGAGCAGTTGTTATTGAAAAATACATATTTTAGTTTGTGATTTTTCTGTACGACTGGGAGATGACATTTGTAGGAGGGAAGCTGCACATTGTTCAAACGTTTAATGAAGAGCTGTCAGTTTGCCTATGAATAAAAACTTACTCTGTTGAACCAGGAACTAACTAGAGTTTGAGAGCACCAACGTCTGCCCTTCACAGAATTACTTACAAGGCTGATGTCTTTTTTATTAAAGAATTTCCCTAATGCTATATATTTCAATTTCTGTTCCAGGTTGTTTTTTAAGGACCTCTTTTGTGGGCTTTCTTTAAAAAGAGTAAGGATGGCATGTGTGCATTTCTGAATTTGGCGTTAGGTTGCAGTAGGCTACTTTAGCCAGATCTTCTACATCTGTGTAGACTTAAAAATAATTGTTTAATTATGTGCATGAGATACTTGGCAGATTTTCTTCTGGTGATTCTGTGAATTCTCTGAGCAGGATGCTATCAAGTTCCATTCCAAAAGGAATACTAAAAGTAGAAGCATTTTAACTTAAAAGGAAATTCAGCATTTACCACTCTTGTGCCAGCAGGAGACCTTCCTCAATAGATCTAAAGGAAAAAAGAAAATATAAATCATTAGCTAACACACTCTAGAAATATCACTGCCCATCTACCCCACTAATGGTAATTTCTTGTCTGGGAGATGAAGTCTGATGTTGTTATAAGTCTGAAAGATACTGTAAGTACTGCCGTGGTTTCCATGGTGAAGAGAACAGTATAAAAAAGGCGAGAAAACGTTGGAATTAGTGATGGTTCCGTGAAAAAATATCTTGTGTTTTGATCAGTGCGTCCAGCCTCCTGGGTAGATGTAGATTACTCAAGAGCAAATAAAACATATGCCACAATAATAGTCCTTTCTCAAATACATAAATATTTTGATCTTGGTGATTGGCAGGAGTGTGTTTGTTCTTTCCCGTATTCTATTTTCCCTTCATTACCATTCAGTACCTACCTTTCCTGTTTCAAAGGCTCGGATGTGGGGAGATGCCAAACAGATTTTGGTGAAATATAGTACACTGAAATCTTTTCAGTGCTTGGTGTCCTACAGGTGCTTCTGCTAGATTTTATGCGTTATTCACTATGCAGAGTTCAGCTGTTACGTGAGGTTGCAATGTATGTTGTGTCAGTTCCCAAGCAACCAAATGTAAAAGGGATCTATTTCATTACTCCAAAATAAAAGAATTGTAACTATTATGAAGATAGCGCAGGGTGCATGTGTACCTACTGCCCTTAAGCCAGAGGCCTTTGGAAGTGGCTCACTTATTCAGTGGAAGATGTACACTGTGTTTTTGCTCTTGAAAATGGCATGAAAAGGCATGGAATACCTTGTCTGATTAATTTTGCTACGGACGGAAAACTGGAATGCTCTGTTTCTTTGTGAATATTGATTTCACTAAGCTCTATAGTAATTGGTAGTTTTATAGCAATTAGTATTTTTTTCTAACAAAGTATTTTAGAGGAATTTTTTGGTAAAATTGCTCTTGTCTTTGCTGGTTCAGTTCGCTAGTATTAACTCAGAAATTTCCAGACTTTAAACAATTTACCTGCTGCAAAGCCAAGCCAAAAATAACAGACATGTAATTGGAGGAAGCATTCAGTACAGAGATTCAGTTTGCAAGTCATCTTTAAGTAATTCTTCAAGGAAAAATCTGGTTCATGTCAAATCTGAAACATGAGTCCATTTGGATCAGATGATTCATCTGCTCATCTTCATCTTTGAGGCCAAAATAAGGTTTCATTTATTGCATGTTCGTGAAATGTAGGCTTTCTTGTAACAGAGCAAAATGCGTAGGAGCTTCAGTTGAACTCTTAAGTTTGTAGATAGGGCAATGAGAAGAATAAGGGACACAACAGAACGTTACCCAATTGTGTTGCCAAGCTAGGTGGCTGTTTGCCGTGAAAAGTGTCTCTCAGTCTCTTCCCACAGTGCAAGTTACCCAGGCATGTTCCCTTTACTAACATATATTGGACATATCTCTGTCCAACATATGTTATATCCTATCCTATCCTGTCCTGTCCTGTCCTGTCCTATCCTATCCTATCCTATCCTATCCATTTTATACAGTTGCAGTACATATGATATCAGTTTAGTCTTCAAGCTGTTATAGATCACAACAGTCTCTGCTCCATCAGTCTAAGATTGCTCACCTAATAAGAAACTCTGATGAAAATCGTGTAAAGTTATACACAGTTATAAAGTGAGCACAGTCACTGGGAGGTTATCTGATACATTGATTTATATAGAAGGCAGTTATTGAAAGTGTATCCAGTTCAGATTCTAAACCTCATCTAAATAAACATAATGAATAAACGTGTATTTGTGGATAGTGAGAACTTCTGTTTTCCATTTGTTTTTACTATCAGGTTAATAGATCAGAATGCCAGAGTGCAGTGCTTCTGATATGATCCTTACAGTCCTTCTGTAATTATATTTGAGACATCAGTAACCTGAAATTAAAACCTAACTCTGTAGAAAAGATTAAGCGTTTCAGTGCTTTCTCCAGCAAACAGATGATTAACACAATTATCTTGACGATGCCTTTAGCAATGTGGTTCAATCACAAGTCACATGTGGGAAGCTCTATTTGTTCAGTACAGTAAACTGATTTTTGAGTTGATTAACTGTTAACTAGATTACTATTGTTTTTCCTTAGCGTTTAGCTTCAGTGGGACTGGATGCCAAAAATACAGTGTGTATTTGGGACTGGAAGAGAGGAAAGCTACTGGCAACAGCTACGGGCCATTCAGACAGGGTAAGAGTATTAAAGAAATACTTTATTATTTATTATTTTTTGTTTATCAAAGGTTAACATAGAGGTAATGTTGTTCATTCTGTGTAGCTTTTGAAATACTGAACAAGGTATTTCTTTCTTCTCATTCTACCAAACAAAGCACAAAGCACTGTGTTAGCACATGATGTATTCTTGAGCTGGCTGGCTTGCCTGAGGAGGAAATACTTTGTAATTACACACTGATGAAGATGATTTATAGCCCTTTATATGAGATGTGAAATGCTAGCTCAGTGGACAAAGATAATGCTCTTTCCAAATGCATCAAAAAGACATTTTATCCTGAGGGGAAGAATATTATTCAGGATTACAAAATGTTTAAACAAGTTTAGCATCAGCAAAATAACTCCCCACCATGTAAGCATGCATGTGTTAAGTTTTGAAAATATTCTGACAGCTTTTTTCTTAAGTATATTATGAAATTATAAGAAGTTAGAATGCTTTCATATTGAAATGTTAGAAAGTTTTACTACTAATGGGGGAGTGTTCATGGTAAAATATATAGAAGCAGAGCAGCAGACTAAACCCTTTCTTCTAGTATATGTGTACATATAGTCCACCTGCATCTTATATATCATCTGGATAAACTATGGAATCATAGAAAGGTCTGTGTCTGAAGGGACCTTAAAACTCATCTAGTTCCAACCCCCTGCCATGGGCAGGAACACCTCACACTGGGCTGTATTGCTCAAATCCTCCTCCAGCCTGGCCTTAAACATTTCCAGGGATGGGGCATTCTCAACTTCTCTGTGTCAGTACCCCACCACCCTCAATCTGGTAGCTCATTTTTACTTAAAATATCCACACCACAGCAGAATCTTAGTCTTTATTCAAATTTCTTCTTTCAGAACTGATTCACTTCCCAGTTATGTCAGTGGAAGTTTTGCTACCATCTTGTGCTACCCACCTCACTAGGCACAAGATCAGGTTTTGAATTATTTGAAGACTCCAGGACAGGCAAGAAGTACTAAAATCTTTGTCTCCTTAGACTTTCACAACCAGAAAAAGCAGATTTTGCACTGAAGAAGGAATGGGAAAGAATATGTATCTATTACTGCCACAAATTATATTGGTTTAGTGTGCTGGAAACATACAGCACTTCTAAAATAAAATATCTTGTGTTTAACAAAATACAAAGTACTTGAACTACTGTAAGTGATGGTTTCTTAAAGAAGATAAATATTTTGTAGGATGGCAACGCTTTGTAGCATATAAAATGAATGATGGGTTTGCTTAGCATAGTAAGTTCCTGTAGGGTGCTGGAAGTTTTCAGAAGTAAACACACTTCTTGTACATGTACAGTGTTAAGATGTACTTGTTAACAGCTGAAGAGCTGGAAGTAGCAAAAAGACCCATTGTCTTTGGCTACAGACACAGGTTTCCTGCAGTAACTCATGATTGTGGTAACATCATTGGTTTTCAGCTTGGCCTTTGAGAAGCTGAATGCCAGAGACGAAAAGTGTAAAAACGGCATGCTGGTGAAAATCTGGGCTGAAGTAGAAACTTCTTATTTCCAAACTTCATGCAGTATTTTTCATCTGACATAATCTCATAGTTGTAGATTACTCTGTAATTTTTTTTCTGATAAGGAGAATAGGACCTGATGCTTAATTTTTTGATGCATATTGTTGTAAATTTAGCAATAATCAACATGATTAATGCAGTTTTATTTCTGTAGATTAATTCAAATGAATGATACCTCATTTTGTCACATGAAGTCTTTGTGATCAGCTTTAATTAACTACTGTACCTTTTACATAAAATAATAAGCAAAGATAAATGCACCATTCTTTCATCCTAAACTTAAGGAACATTGGCTCACCACGTGATTCCCATTTTATTTGTGATTGTTAGTGTTATTTATTCAAGAATATCTCAGCTGGAATAGATTCCTAGTTTGAAGGCAGGAAAGAGGTGTCTTGTCAGAGCTGGGTGAGATGACCATAATCTTTATACAAAGAGCTCCAGTTTTACCTAAATATTGTGCTTTGATTTTTAGCAGTACTTTACAATACTTATGCTTAAAAATTAGTAAAAGCAAACTGAGTCTAGATTCAATTACTGTATAATTTAAAATATCAGCTTACTGCATTTCTTAACAGATATTTGATATTTCCTGGGATCAGTATCAACCAAACAGAATTGTCAGCTGTGGAGTAAAACACATAAAGGTAAATATCTTTTGTTTGCTGTTATTTTTGTTTTTGAGTAAATAGCCATTGGGAAAGAAGTTTGTCCTGTGAAATGATGAGGCTTTCAATATAAGAGATTTTCCATTTTTCTTTTTTTAATCCGTCAACATTTCACCAAAATTTTTTGTTGGAAGCCAGTTTAGACATTAAGCGGATGCAAATTATCAAGTGAAGGTCACTTGGTGTAATTTTCATCACTATACACTTCTAATTTTGGGGTTTCCTTCTCCTTGTCTGTGATTTTTCTTCTGGAGTGTCACAAGTGGTCACTGGGCTGGCGTAGGAGTAACTAAGAAGTATGAATTGAATGGATTTCTGTCTGACCTATTGTGCTACCAGCAATTATAGTGATGCTGTAGAGAAGGTACCTAATACCTATGGAGATGAGCAGATTATAACTCCATTTGGCCTACCACACTATTGGCAATTGCAGTGATGATGTGGGGAAGGTATGCAATGCCTATGGAGATGAGCAGATTAGAACTCTAGGATCTGACTATTGGATCCCTCTAATTCATCTTTTCAAGAGCTGACATTCCAACGCTTATAAAAATACTGAGAGAGAAATTCTCATTTGCTAATACTCCCTGCAATTTTCTTTTTTCCTCCAGTCTCATCAAACACATTCCTAACAGATGGTAATTATTTCACATGGCTGAGGTGGGAAGAGCTTTAACTAGAAGTTTAGGAGACCAGCTAATATCTCTAGTTCGGGTTACTGAGAAGCTTTTGCCCTTGAAACCACCACTGCTTTCAAACTGTGGGTGGTTTTGGCAGGAGTGATACCATCTGTTGTATTCTGCAAGCTGTTTTCCGAAACCTGTCTTTATTTGGCACCTGTGTTCTGTTTTAATTGGCCATAATTGCCCCAAACGTGCATAATACCAGCAAAGTATGCATACGGATAGAGGCGTGCCAAGAAAAGAAGAAAAAAAAGAGGGACTGGGGGAGTGAGTTGGAATGCTTTCTCATTAGATATTCCCCTTCAGTGATGCTCAAGCAACGCTCTACGTGGTTGTCAGTCATTATATGCCTGTGGAAATGTGATAATCAACTTGCAAAAAGGGATAAGAACAGCTCTCAAGCAATTGTAGCACTCTGAGAGTAAGGACTAGTAGTTAAGAATAATGCTGTTTCTTCCTTAGCATTTCAGTTCTGTTGGGTCTACTGGGTAAGCAAAAATTAAAAGCTGTGATAAGGCTTAGGAGCTAAGTCTTCATGCCCCACCTACTTTCTAATGCTGCCCTGCTCTCTTTACTTATGGTAAAAGACAACGGGAAAAATAATTGAATTAGAAATAGAGAAAGATTTGAAATAAAAATCCTTGACACAAAGATCTTCTGGAGTTCAGCTTTATGGAAACTTATGGGAGCAAGAACAAGGAAAAAGACATGAAAATTGTTTATAACCACGGAAAAGATGTAGGCATATGAAGTGAGATAGGCATTATGATCCTGCGTCAGGCACCTCAGCATACCTATCCAATCTCTGAGTATCTCTTTATTGCGAAATGAACCACTGAACATAAATGCCCATTTTTGCTTGTGCTGCCAGGCCTGAGTATTTCAGCATTTCTTGTCCACATCTAATTGTAATCCACTTTATAGTCCCCAGGAGGTCTGATCCCTGAGCGGGCACTGCATTGCACACTATTCCGTCTCCTTAATAAAAATTATGTCTATTTAGAAGAAAAAATTACACTCAGTACTGATTCCAAAAGAAGAAAGTACAATTCCATGATTGTATGATTTTTCTAGCCCAGCCCTAAGGATGGCCTTCTACTGTGTTTGTGTTCTCTTGCTCATTTCCTTTTCCTCTTTGCACAGTGTTACTGTATCTGTGTAAAAGTGAAGAAAGTCTCTATGCCACATCTAGAAAATCCCATTACTTCATACTCAGAGCAAGTTCAGTTTCAGGTACAAGGGTCTGCAGTTCTCCATCAAACCTCTGTAAATGTGGTTTTGAGGAGCATATTTGTTTCAGTGCACTGGGGAAGGGCAGAAATGTTTATTCAGCTCATCCAGAAGCTTAACTGTTTTATTACTTCACAACACTGTTGACACTGTTTTGTAGGGATGTACGTCTGTGAGATCTGCACATTAACATGAAAAAAAATGCAGAAATTCTTCCTGATAATAGCATTTACATTTCAGTTTTGGACTCTGTGTGGAAATGCATTGACAGCGAAAAGAGGAATATTTGGTAAAACAGGGGATCTGCAAACTATCCTTTGTTTAGCATGTGCAAAAGAAGACATCACGTACTCCGGTGCTTTAAATGGAGACATCTATGTTTGGAAAGGGCTAAACTTAGTTCGCACAATTCAAGGAGCACATAGTGTAAGTTGTATTTTTAATGTCAATTTCTGAAATGTCTTGTTCATTGGCTTGAAAACTTCATTGAAGACCTTTTATTTCAGGTCAGAAGAGTGTTGAAGGCAGTACGTCAGTTAAGATTTTATCTTTAATTTTGTACATTGTTTATGTTTTGTCAGCAGATGCTAGCTGCTGAACTGATATTGACAGAACAGATATTGTTAGCACAGATTTAACCAAGCAGACTAAACATAAAGTAAAGTTTCTAAATCTAAAGTTTCACAGATTATAGCTTCAGGTATGATCAGTTTAAATAAAAATATTTTGTAACCAAATGATCTTATTTCAAATTAATTTTACCAGTAAAATTCCCAATATCCAAGATTGATTCTTCATAGAAGCCTCAATGTAGAGTAGATCGTTTTAATCTGTGAGTGCACTCTGACCATATTCCAGAGGCTCTCAGTTTACTCCTTTCATGATAACACCCCCTAATGTGGAGCCCTTAAAATTACAGAGAGAGAAAGGAATGTACAGGTTTCTGCTGGCTTTCTAACCACTTGAATTAACATCAGAAATACACGTTTCTGTTGTTGCTGCACTAAAGGCACGGTAGGATTTCCATGTCTGCAAATACAGGGTGGTGGTGGTGCATTTTTTTTAATCTCCCCAACTTCATTAAATTGGCAGTGCATCAGGATTCATAGCAACTCTTCTAATTACCTAATCCCTAATTTGTAAAAGCTGTCCGACTGAAGACAGTGACATTTCTTACCTGCAGAACTACCATGTAATTGACAGGTGATTATGTGATTATGCACAACTGCAGTAACGTGGAAATCTCTGAGCTAAGCAGTAACTCTGTGTAGCACACTTCCTTGAGTTTATATATGGATTCTTTGGAAAAAATAAATTCCTTCTACACAATATGTTCTGCTTTATTTTTACACATGATGGAGTTTCTTCGTGGCTGATTCATAGTCTCCTGCCCATTTTGTAACCTCTATGTAAATATTCATTAAGACTTTGAACAAGGCCACTTTGAAATCAGAGGTTTTCTCTTTCATTGTGTTAATTTCTGTACTGTTGAACTTGGCTTTTAACTGAGAGGTCTTCCTCATAATAGCATTCTGATTCAGCATGTGTTCCATGAGCTATTCCAATACTGCATAGCACAGTCATCAATAATGAGGCATTTTAGAAAATGAAGGAATTCAATCTGTAACAGAACTTTTTCTTTCAACAAGGAGAATGAATTGACAATCTTTCAGTTCCTATTAGATTCCAGATGATGTCTGCACTGAATTCATGAAAGAATGTCTCTATCATCTCCACACCTGTAAGAATATTTGTATGGCTTGTTTGCTTGTTTTTCTTTATTATGGGTAACTATTTATTTTAAGTGTTCTACTATTTGCTTAGTAGTTCCAATGATAATGCTAACCTAATCCAAATTTAAAGTTCTGCAAGTGGGCTATATCACTATTATTTGTATGCAAACTTCTACAAAAATCACTTGAGGTGAGAGCACTTGAAATAAAAATGTACCTCTGTGTTTGCTGGCTTGCTTTCTGGATGGACAACAGTATGCTGCCTAGCAGTTTCTAGCCTTTAATAAGAGTCTTTTCAAAAAGGTTTGCTTTGTGTGTTTAAATCAGTTGTAAAGAACCTTAAAACTTGTTATAATATTGGTTAACAGGCTGGAATTTTTAGTATGTATGCTTGTGAGGAGGGCTTTGCCACTGGAGGAAGAGATGGTTGCATTCGGTTATGGGACACTGATTTCAAACCAATTACTAAAATTGATCTCAGAGAGACTGAGCAAGGATACAAAGGTAATGAGCTACTACTTTCCTGGTTTTTCATACATCTAAATAATTGTGGCACCACTGCATTCGATGCATTAATGTCTGTCTATACTGCTGACTTTTTGCTTAATGCCTGTATTTACCTCTAAGATCTGTGTTCCCTTTTTACTGAAAATGATGCTGCCTGATGAAGTTTTCTGTGCTTCGTTATATAAAAGGAGGGATGTAGAGTTGCTCCTCCCCATGATGCAAATACGAGAAAATAAGTTAAACTAATTAATGACACAGTCAGATGAATTAAGCTAGTCCATCTTTAAGTTATTATTTGCCAATTCTTTTAGTTATTTGAAATTTTTGGAACCTGATATTAAAAGATGCTGAGCATCTCAGTACTCCACTTAGGTTCATTTGGAATGGTACCACTTGGCGTATTTAATATAGAGGTTATTAATCTTTTGACCATCATGTTTATTGAAGCTAGCCACGCTCCCTATGAATCATCACTTTTCTTTGATTAGATTTTCAGTTTGCTTATGATCTCTATAGATGACAGTGTATGATTTATGAGCAACTCAACTTTTAGGGAATTCTGCAACATCCATTTAGATTGAGAAGACTGATTGCTGGCCTCAAGTAGACTTCTGGCAGGCAGTTCTGCAATGGTTAGCTTATGGTTTTAGACAATTTTCATATTAAAATTGCCTTTGGAACACTTAGAAGACAACTAAAAAGGATAACATTTTTTTCCTCAATTATGTACGTTTCGGTCTGTGATTTAGTGACAAGCTTGTTTTGTTTATTTTTTTCAACTTACTTGAAACCAGATTGGCTAATGATTTTAATTCTTGTAAAATACAATATCAAGGCTCGTCCAACGAGCTAACTACTTTGAACACTCACTGAACAACTGCCCCACCAGTTTGTCTTGCTTGTTGATGTGTAGTGTAGTCAACACATCAGAGGGACAGGATGCTATCCAGAGAGATCTAGACAGGCTCAAGCAGTGGGCCCAGGAGGTTCAACAAATCCAAATGCAAAGTCTTGCTCCTGGGTCGTGGCAACTCCCACTATCAATACAAGCTGGGGAACAAAAGGATAGAGCACTGCCCTTCTACAAAGAACTTGGGTTACTTGTGGATGGCAGCTGGACATGAACCAGCACTCTGTCCTCACTGCCCAGGAAGCCAACCGTGCATCTGGGCTACATCAAAAGCAGCACGACCAGCAGGGTGAGGGAGGTGATGGAATTTTTAGAGTGTGTTCAGAGAAGGACCACAAAAACGAGGACAGCCTGAGAGAGCTGGGGCTGTTCAACCTGAAGAGAAGACTTCAGAGAAAGCAGTCTTTCAGTATCTGAAGGGAGACTACTAGAAAGAAAGGGACAGACTCTTCAGCGTGGTCTGTTGTGACAGGACAAGGGAAAATGGTTTCAAACTGAAGCAGGGGAGAAGTATTTTCCTATGGGGTGGTGAAGCATGAAAACAGGTTGCCTAGTGATGTTGTGGATGCCCGGTCTCTGCAGACACAGTCAGCTTGGACGAGGCTCTGGGTAACATGATCTACCTGTGAATGTCCCTGTTCATTGCAGAGGAGTTGGACTTGGTGGCTTTTAAAGATCTCTTCCAACAAAACAGTTGACTTTCAGTTGACTGCAGTTAACAAAACTTCCACGGAAAATTTTAATTTCATACTACTAACATTTTACAAGTCTGTGAATATTCAAATACTTACAGGGGTTATCTAATCCTAGCATGTTGTCTGCAGAAAGCATCTGACAGCAGCTAGCTGCCCTTGTGCAGGTTAGCTGCAAGGGAATTTGCCTCTTCGTGGAAGTTAAGCTCAATCAAGGATGAACTTAGTGAAGGAGAATTCCCATTAGACATTCTGTTGAATGAATCTAAATTGATGCCTTTATTTCTATCTGCTGAATGATAGAGGAGACAGAGTTCTTAAATGAGTGCAGCTAAGCAGAGCCAGGCACCATAACAGCAGCTGAGACACAGTCAGCAGATGATTTTGTTATATTCCTGCATGGCAAAAGTGATAAAAATAAGCATTTTTAGAAAGTGAATTGAGTTGCTATTTTGTATATATTTTATATAAATTAAAACTTTTTACAAAAATTGGTAACAGATTTCTTTAAAACATTGTCTAAATCTTGTCTTGAAAACATTTAAATCTTTCTGGTTTATCTTTGTTTGTCAAAACACTGTCTGCATTAATGGCAAGAAACTGACTCAAGCAAGTCTGGAAAATTTCACAGAGCTTAGCCAAAAACGGTGTGCCTGTGAGCATAATCGTTCAGACAAAGTAAAAAACTACTATGATTTGTATGTGAAGTGTTGTCTGACTTCTGGTCCTGCCGTAACTACAAAAAAATCCGGTCCTTGGGGATGACTGCAGGTCATAAAACCCAAGCAAGTACTTACTTCCTTGTCAACATCTTTTTCCTTTATCCTATTCTCTAGGCTTTCTTCTCTCTGTTTGGTGTGACACAAATCATGCCTGCTTTGTTTCTCTTATGCCTCTGCACTTTTCTCTTGTTACTGTCCTGTATGCCACCTACTGATGATCACTTCCATTTAGTTCTTGCTACTAAGACTGTAAAAAATACATTTTATTTTCCATTATCACAGTGGCTAGTTTAAGTGTATATGTGACTTGAAGCAAAACCGGTAGCCTAATTGCTTACCCATGCCTCCTGTTCCCTTTTTTCTTTTTCAAAAGCCGTTCACAAAGACATCAGAGATCAAACTTAAAGCTCCTTTCCCAGGTGGTAGGAAGATTTTTGTTCTGCATGTCCTCATTCATTGTTCATCCTGTACTGAAGTGTACTAAATACTTTTGAAGTAAGATGCGTTGCCAGTAGCCATCTGATCATAGACTTGGCATTTATTTATTAAATACAGGTGGATATCAACAAAATTTCTGAGAATGGATCATCTTATGTGCAGAAAAAATTAGCTTTCCCGCATGGGAAGATGTAATTAGTATTCTAAAACTTAACACCAATTTGCCACTTCTGAAGTTCAATCACTGTGTGGCATTTGCTGTTTTTCAAGAAGGTGTGAGTCAAAAGTTCATTAGATTCTCAAAATTAAAAGGTACTGGAGCTGGACAAGACAATAAACAAAGTTTAATTTGCCCTTCTAAAAAGATGACACAGAATGCTTGCAGTATGTTTTATTTATATGTCTGGTAGTTAATTGCATTGCGTATTCCATTCCAAAAGATATAAAAATCATGATGTGTTTGACCTTGACTACATGGTGAATGAATTTTTAATTCATTCACATCTCATAGAATCTAGACCCATTATTGAAACTTCAGAATTTCACATTTTCATGTAATTCGTTGGACAGAAGATAGAAACCCTACGAGCAGTCAAGAAGAGAGTGGCACCAACCCATTAATCTTTTGGTTTAAAGTATTCAGCTAGGGTCACAAAACCAAATTCAGCCTTAGAGCCACTGAACTGCTTTACTTTTTGAGTGTTCTTCAAATGGTTACTACCAGATTTCCCTACTGTAAAAGGTGTTTCTGAATGCAAAACACTAGTTTTGAAATGCAGTCACCTACGTTGAGGCAGTCAGTGCTGTAATTCATTGATAAGAGGATATTTTTAAGCATGTTGTTTGAAAAATTCCAGCTTAAAAATTATGGATTTTTTTGGAATAAGATCAAGCTCTCTAGTATGTATGAAAAGCAAAACTCTAATTTTTTTTTTTTAATAGTTTGGATAAAAGTAGAGAAGGGTGATAACTTGTAACTTAAGATCATCATTAAAATTTTATTCACTGTTCTGTTTAGATATGCAAAAATGTAAAGTACTGGAAAAAAAAAATAAAGCTTCAGAAGAAGGAATCTTACCTATTCTAAAATTTTTATCTTTAACTCATGTTTATTTTTATTTTATGTAAATTCTGAAGATGCAAGCAAAGCAGAAGAACTCGATCCCTTGGCAGACTGACAGCAGACAGCATTTTCCCAGAATAGAACTCTCTCTTTTTCTGTGTAATGGAGATAACTTAGGAGAACTGTTCTGAGATTCTAACAACTGTGATATAAGGCTTGTTTTGAAAATGTGATGATTGTTGTAAAATTCTCTTGAAGTCTTAGTGATCTTCACTGTACTATCATTTGGTCTTGTCATTGCCATTAATCTGAAATTATTCTGTCCCGTCAGGTTTGTCCATCCGAAGTGTCTGTTGGAAAGCAGACAGACTTCTAGCAGGGACACAGGACAGTGAAATATTTGAGGTGCTAGTAAGAGAAAGAGATAAACCCATGCTGATTATGCAGGGTCATTGTGAAGGGGAGCTGTGGGCCCTGGCAGTCCATCCAAAGAAGCCTTTAGCAGTCACAGGCAGTGACGATCGATCCGTACGGTAAGGCTAGATCTTGTGGGTTTTTTTTAATATATTGAATCACATACATATCATTTTTAACCAGTTTCAATTTGATGTATTTGTAAATGATTTATATTTTGGCCTTATGTTAAGAGTCCCATAAGGCAACATTGCCCCCACTTTCTTTTTCTTTAGCAGCTTTTCTTTTCTTTTCAGTCCTTGTATGTGGGCTTCAAACATCATGTGAAATTAATCAGAATATGTGTTCAAATACTTGTGTTTAGCACATGCTGGAGTACTCTGCTTTAAGTACTTATTACTGTTCTGAACAACAGTTTTAATTCTAATTCTGACAGTGGCCTCCTGCTTCTCATCAGTTAGTACCATGCAAAAATCAAAAATCTTAAACATCTTTGACTTAATTTTTGCACAGCAAGAATCTGAGCCAACCATGAGTGTTTAGAAAATTTAATCTAAACCCGATTAAATTAAAATCCCAGGAAACAAGGCTGGATTACTCTGATGAAAAACACCTTTCACGTGTCTACTTGTAGCAGGTACACCTGAAGTCTTGATAACAGCGATTTGAAACTTTGTACACGTGTTTGTGGAGGTTATGGTAAAGTCAAGGATGTTTCTTTTCTTCTCGCTGTTGAGTTTGACCAAATGAGAAGCTGATGAAAGACCTAAGCCTTTTTTGTACACTTAGTAAAACTTACTGTAAAGCATGGAAGTTAAGCTATGTTGATAGTCATACTGATAACAATCTCAAACCCACACAGCTGTTTTCTATTACATCATCTGGACTTGAACAGTATCCACTCTGACTGAATACTTACCTGAGATTAAAGAGAGTCAGCAAAACTTTTCTCAGCCTTCTGTTTTCCACTCAGGGAAAGATACCTATCAAGGCTGGATTGACTTTTGGGAAACCAGATTTTATTATGGTGTTTTCCTGAGACTTTCCTCAAATCCTTGTTCTCTCAGTCCCTGAAGCCCTGCATTGCACACAGTGCAGTTCACAACAGTGTGGTTTCTCAAACTCTAGTTTTCCAGGGGTTTCTCCTGACCTCACTGTCCTAATTTCTAACCCGTCCATTCTCCAACTCTACACCAAATAGATCATAACTGACTTTCATCTTACATAGATAATTTGGTCACATATTTTCAGATCAACCCTTGGATGTTACCAAACAGATTTTCAGTTCTGATGGACTACTAGCCACCTATTTCAGAAATGTAACAGTGGGTTCTACCATTCGGACTTGTTTCAGTTTCCTGTCATACAGACAGTTCAAATTTGTGCTCCTTCAGATTTCCCATTGTGGATTCACCTTGGCCTTGAAGCTTGATGGTCAGTTGGAGTTTCAGTTTCTTTCCTTTCCTTTCTCCATTTTTACTTGTATGGCTTCCTATTCCTGCCATTCCTCATCTCTTTCTAATCAATTGTGAAACTAATGAAACTCCACTTAGACTCTACAATCACATTATCTGCATGTTTCCTACACAGCAGCATTATTTCAATTTGTAAAATGCAGGAATGGTCTCTTCTGCTTGGAATTTTCTGCACAGCTTTATAGACAAACAAAAATTGACACTGCCTGCATTCTGGTGGAATGTGAGCCCATTCCCAAACAAGAGCTGCAATGCTGAGATTAGTGTAGTACTGATCTCAAGCTAATAAGCCATGCTAAGATTATGGACTTATTATCTTGGACTCATCTCTTGACTTAGCTTGGTACTACCACTCTGGTTTGGCACTGGATGATGTGCTGTAGAGTACGTGAGACAAACTTGTGCCCATCTATGAAAGGCTGTTAAAGCATGTTCCCTGTGCACAAAATCTTGTTGAGTGGTGCTCTTATGATTACTACTGCTGTTATACTTGTTGTTAGACTATTGATGCCTTTGAACATCACCATTCTTAAAATATGCATTTATTAACATTGCAGGTAGTCTTCTGCTCTTCTTTATTTATTTATTTAGCTCTTTAGGCACTAGAGAATGGGGGATTTGAATTCTAGCTCAGGCAGTGATACTTATTTTTTTAGTGTGCTAATGCTTCATGTGAGGAATTCCAGAGAAATGCATAAATTCTTGTGTGTTTTTAGTGACATAAAACATGCACAAAAGGATTTTTCCTATTATTTTTTCATTATATTTTTTGATCTGTAGGCTTAGGCTGATTGCATGGTCTTAGCCACAAATACAAAAAAATAAATGAATAATTTTGGAACTGAAAGATAATTCTGCTGGTAAAAAGATTTTCCACAATGGAAGGAGATTATCAGTCCCAAACAATAAAAACCAATTGCGGCAGGGAAATTAAGCACTTTGTGTTTGTTTACCTAGAAAGTTCATGCGTTCCTAGCAATGTCAAAAGAGTTTTTTAGTAATGATTTTGAATTGACAGGAGTGTTTCTATATTGCTATTTCCTTTATTGCATAATTTTCCTGTTAGTGGAATAGAATGTAAATCTAAATTGTTCTACAGATAAAATTATCTAGTGAGCTGGATTATGTTATCATGTGTAAGTGATGTGCTTAAATGAAAAAGACCTCTGCATGGTGAAGAGGAATTTCTCTAGATTTTCCCTAGCACAGCTGAGAGAAGACTGGCCAAATACAGGATTCCTACTCTTAAAGCTTCAATGTCCTCTCAATTAGAAATGCTGCTTGCTTCATCATTCTTATGGCAAGAACCAGGAAGAAGCATCAGCCTCATCTGAATACTAATGGAGGCATAAAGAATGATTTATTACAGTTGTTCAGTGCAATTAATACACGTCTTTTTACAACACACCGGTATAATGACTAGCTGCAGGACTACAAGTAGCTGACATTCTGGCAGAACATCTCTGCTCTGCTGGCTGTCTTTCTTGAATGATCCATTCTTGCATTTGTAGAAAGATTGATGCAGAGTCTTATTTTTCTACAAATTATTTTGAATGTATATGTCTCTGATTTTTTTATTCATTTATTTATTAGTGCAGTGTTGTTCTGCCAGAGCCAGCATTTAAGTTGCTGCCATCAGTACTGGCTGTTTCTGAAAACAAAGAAGTTGCTAGTAAGCCTCTTGAGAGGCGATAATCAGTATGTGCACCAATAAACTATGAACTCTATGTCAGGTATGTGACAGAAAATATTGGAATATTTACTAATAAAATGTTCAATTGGAGCTTCTAAAACTCAGACATTTAAACGAATGCAGAGGAAAGTTGCTGAGGAATGGTGAAAACACATCTTTGACTTCTTGGAAAACAGAAGCAACTTTTATACAGAAGTGGTTTATTTATTCAGCTCTTTCAAAAACAGTATGCAGAAGAATTTGCCAGAAAAGATTGCCTTCCTTATTTTCATAAGCAAAGCCAGGCCTTTCATCTCTGAGTTGTGCATACAAATGCTTGCATGTGTACAAAATTACTGTTTTTGTTAAAAATGAAAGGGTAACATCTGGAATTATTCTTACATTAAATTTTGGGGTTTTGATTGCATGTTACTAAGAAAATTGAATTATTCATCTTGCACTGCCATGTATTGCAATTACGCTCAAAATGTAAGTGGTTCATGTGGAGGCAAGTTTTGGAGGCATTCTGTCCTGGTGTTTCTTTTGCAGTCTTTACTGTTTCTTACTGGTTCTGTTCTCCCTTGCATGGCTCCTAAGAATCTTGCATCTGATTCCTACTTCTATTTTGTCTTTGAAAACAGTTCTAGCATCCCGCATCTGTTTTTCACCAGGATCCAGTACTTGCAGTTCTTTGACAGAGGAACCTTTCCAGGTTTTTTTTTTCATCCTTGAATTTTCTGAGACTAAGAAAGAGCCAGCGCCATTTAGGGGCGTTAATTCTGGGTTACCTAACAACATTAACGGGAAAAGTCCCAAAGAGTTTCTGATTGAAAGGAAGTGCTGAGTTGACAGGGTACCACCCTTTCTCAATACAGGCAGTCAAATGCTCTATTTCTACAAAATTTATCAAACTCAATCTCTTTTCTCTCCTTTTACTCACACTTCAAGGCTGCATCTAAATGCTACTGCTGGTGTGGTCATAAACTTCCTTCTATTTGAACTAGATTCATGTTCTGTTTATCCTATTTGTTCTAGTGCCAACATGATCCTTTGACATAAATTTTTCTCCTTCTTTGATGTTTATCCTACTGATGCATTTTTGGAAGCAACACTATCCCTTCCCAGCCTTTGTTTCACCAAGGTATAGAGGTTAAACTCTTTTAGTCTTCTTCAATGTGATACAGTCTAGATTCTCTTGATCATCCTAGTAATCCTTCACTGCATCTGTTCCTGTTTTTATTCAAAGTTCTTGAAAGACTTTGTAAAGAGCATGTTGGATGAAATGACTGTGTGTTGTGCGCTATTGTTTTTGTGTACCTCCTGGAATAGCACCCAGGATACATTTTAGGATCAAATTTCCTTTTCCCTGTCTGTAACTCACTCGTGGATCATGGTCATTCTGTACTTTAAAGAATAGTGTGAGATCTTACTTCTTTTTGCTAGTTCCCCTTGTTTGAAGCTTGTGGCACAATTTTAGAGAATAAAACTCGCAAATACAGCTTCTGGTTAAGTTTCATTCCATGTCTGTTTCATCATCAAGAATCCTCTGTTTCTACAAATATGATAAATCCATTTCTGGGTTCACAGTGCCTCCCAGCTTCCTGTCCATAGCAAATTTCATCAGCATTCTCATCTTTTATGTCAGTGTCTTTAGAGAAAATATCGAATGTTAACATTCCAAAGTTTGAATTCTCAGTAGAAACTTCCATCCAGCTAATTGTTTCCTTCTGTAAAGCTTGCATAGAACTTTATCCAGTACAGTGTACAGTTCTTGTGTAAGTTCTCATTTTCTTGAGTTTGGCCAATAATTCAAATATTTTACTTAGTATTTCATAAGTCTTTACAAAATATATTAGATCTATGATACTGTCCTCAAAATCCTGGTATTTCTAACTGGTATTTCTGAGTATTGCTGACTTGGTTTATCTACTGCAAAAAATCTTTCATGCATCTTCTTCCACATTTTATTATTCTTTACTTTTTTTTTTTTTCCTAAGTCTTAGATCTCAGAATACTGAGATCTGATGAACTAGGTTGTAGTGATTTAGGAAACTCCCTCCATTCTTTCAAAAAATATAGGTAACAGTGTTTGCATTTCCCCATCTTACAGAATAACATATTTATTGATTCCTTTTTTTTTGAAGTATTGCAAATCAGCAAATCAGCTTGCGTTATTGTTTACTACATTGATTGAAAGTGATGTCTCCTATTTGTTTTCATGTAAACCACAACAGCTATGAAGAACACAATAGCACTACTTGATTGAGCAAATTCTTAGCTACTGTTTTTCAACATAATCACCACCACTAGCTATGCATTTTCACCATTAGATAACATGAGACTGCATGCCATGCTTCTGGACATGGCAGTCCAGAACATAGCTTGTTTTTCATGTCACTGTCATCACTGCTGAAATGCACCACCCACCATGGTGCTGACATCCAGTGTTCGGTCTCTATAGGTGTTCAGCAAGCATCAATGAAGGTCAGTGGGTATAATTTTTTCTGCGTGGAGGAATTCATTTCCACATCTTTGCTTCATTCGCGCTTCCGTGTCAGACACCATTTTGTCACACAACCCCTCTGCTGCCATCTGTTGCACAGTAACAGAATGTCACAGAAATTGGCAGAAACCTCTGCTGCCATACCACCAACATCTGCCTCTGAGGTTGTGAGCCTACATAATAGAACAGGAGGTGTTACTTTCAGAGCAGCCCTCTTAGTTTGCTCAGTGTTAAAGAAGAACCATTTCCCCATGATTGGAATGTTTATGCTCTGAGTGTTATTTTCTCTTCCAGCAAAAATTTCACCCTATTGACTCCTTCTGTCTAGAGGAAATTGCATTTTCCCCTGCATCCAGGGGAATTCTATTAGATAATTAGAGTCTGAAGACGATACAAAATGCATATGTCATTTAGCTTGAAGCTCTCCCTTCCCCTATTTACTCTTCAACTGTCATAGATGTGTTCAGGTCTGAGCTGCCATCTCCACCAGAACTGGGGGTTATAAGGACTCCTTCACTTTGAAAGGAATTTGAACCTGGGATTTCACCTGATGTGAAAGAGATTTAGTGCTACTGTCAGGAAATTCTAAATCTCCATATGTTGAAGCAGGCAGTCAGTACACCATCTTTCTGCTCCAAATTTGATAAGCAGTTTTGAGATTTTAAAAACTACTTAACTGAAAGTCTGTTGGCTCAAGTCAGTAAAAATATCTTTGTTCCATAGTTGGAAAGGAACTCAGTGCATTATAAACTCTTATGTTAAGATTTTATGTTAAGGTGCATATGCAAATAGGGCATTACCAATTCAGTTGGACCTTTCATTTTCACTCTTGATAATATTGAAATATTGTGGAGTTAGGAAGAAGTTTCTACTGCTTTCAATTTCCTTTGATGCAGACTATGGAGTCTTGCTGACCATGCCTTGATAGCTCGTTGTAACATGGAAGAAGCAGTGCGGAGTGTGTCTTTCAGTCCTGATGGATCACAGTTAGCACTTGGTATGAAAGATGGCTCCTTCATTGTTCTTAGAGTAAGGTAAGATGAGAAAATACGGCATTCATTTCTCAGGTTTTCTTTTTTTTTTTTTTTTCCTGAGTAACTCAAAACGTTTTTATAAAGTCTTTTATTCCTGTTCGTCAGAAAATGAAAGTGAACAGAAGAGAGTAAAAATTGACCATATCCTTCCATAATATTACTTTTTGTAGTTTGGCAGCTCGAAGCAAACCTATGGCTTATTCAAGTCATAAGATCAGCTCACAGTAACAAGATCGATGAAGTTTATTTATTCTGAAATGGTGCAGATGTTTAGGAAAATGTGTATTAACAGCAATAACACAGTTTTGAGAGGAGTCTCATTGATCATGTTTCTGCCACATATAAGAACAGGCAGTATCAAAATAATCACTGATTGGGCATGTGCTAACCATATGCAAATTTCTCATTTTTGAATAGATGACAAGCGTGTTTTGCATGAATGCATCTTACCCAGTAGGCATTTTCTGTCTGGAGTAATATATGGAAGATTGATGTAGACAGATAAAACATGAAATTGACCATGGAGTGAAATATCTAGCCAACAAAAGTAGCGTGAGTTCGTAACACCATAAACTATTCTAAATGATACTTGGACGAGTTTACTACTTTCTTAATATTGCTCTATTTTTTAAAGTGAGTTTTAGTAAATTTAAAAAACTGACTTAAAAAACTTTGAACAAAGAATTTATAAGAGGGAAAAGCATGGAAGGTTCTTGTTTTGAATAATATATACTCAGTGACATTAATTTTTTTATTTTCTTCTGAGTTCTTGGCCATGGAAGATCCTTCTCAGATTTTTCATATCACTATCATATTTATCACTATGGAATAGTTATATTGCAGGTTTTCAGAAAGAAGGTAGAGCTAACAGATTTTGTTTGTTTGTTTGTTTTTGTTTTGGCCAAAATATATTTAAAAGAAAAAAATGCCTGTGAGAAAATAAGAATTTTTCCAACTAAATTTCTCCTGTCATTGACATTTTGGAGCTCCACCATTTTAAAGGAAATTCCTAAAGGAAATATATTTCATCAGTTTTTTTGAAGAATTCAGATCATCTGTAATATTAACCTTTTGATTCATACCAGTCTCCTCAGAGCCCCTGTCTGTCTTCATTGTGGGTGATTCTCCATTACAGTTCTATGAATCTGCATTTTTAAGAAACTTTAGCAAAATTCACTGTTTCTTAAATGGTTTTGAGCCTTTTCATAAATTTGATGCTTCTAGCAGAAATTGAGGCAGAAATCAGGAAAAACGTTTAAGAAAACTAAAATGGAAAGTAAGTGAGGCATGACATTTGGAGCAGACTCCTCCTCAGAACATTGCCTTATCTGGTATGAGTTATCTTCATAAATCCAAAAGTAATGGCAATAGGACTTGCTTCATCATTCAGTCAACTCAGGGGAAGATATATTTCAGTTTGCTTCTAATTTATTCTTCATATCCATAGAGTTTGGGAAGCCTCCTTGCAAAACCTTTGTCTGCTTTCAAGAGATTTGCAGTTTGAGTTCCTTGTAGGGTTTCTATTTCCACAGAAAATGGGTTTGTATCAAATGTAATTTGGATAGGGGAGAGTTTTTCAGAAGATGAGACTGCATCGTGTTCTTGATTTTTTTTTTAATTTGTAATTATTATTATTGTCTCAAAGGTTCATGCAAGGAATTATCACAAGGACATTTTAGGTCTGCTGTGTCCCAAATACTGTAGCTAGCTGGTCACTGCATGGGAGAGTAATCAAATCTAGCTTTACCAGTTTAACTCATAGCCACTAATCTGTTTGTCTGTCTCCCCATAAGAGTTAGTGTGGAGAAATGGTGATCTCCTAACGTCCATTCTGCTACGTTCTTGTGAGGTATACTAATCACTCCTTAACAGAAATCTTTTTTTCAACTTTTTCAACAAAAACACAATAGTCTAGTGTTGACCACACAGCTAACTATTCCGCAGCTAAAACTGGGACAGTGGAGTGAAAAGTGTCATCAACAGGTTGTTTCTATTTTTTGCTTTAAGGATGTGCTTATAGCCCATGGAAGCAGTAGGAGATTTTTTTGTGACATCTATGTCTCTTGTACAAGATATTTGTTGCCATACTTGTCTTAAATATTTATAGGCTGCATGTTCAGAAGTTTACAGTCACGTTTTCACTACTGTTTCTTGCAGGGACATGACAGAGGTGGTTCATATTAAAGACCGAAAAGAAGTAATCCATGAAATGAAATTCTCACCCGATGGCTCTTACCTCGCTGTGGGCTCTAATGATGGCCCTGTGGATATCTATGCAGTTGCTCAGCGATACAAAAAAATAGGAGAATGCAACAAATCTTGCAGTTTTATTACTCATATTGACTGGTCTGTGGATAGCAAATTCCTGCAAACCAATGATGGCGCAGGAGAGAGACTGTTCTACAAGATGCCATGTAAGTTTACAAGTATGAACATGGAATGAACAAGTGAACTTCTGTGTTGATCTGAAGTGAATGATACAGATACTATATACATAGTGCATTTGCAAGCAGATTTTTGTGACTGGAACTTACAGAATACTACAGTTCATTTGTACACCCTTATTCTCAGCATATACCCACCTTCAGCTTTGTTTAAGTAAAAGCTGTCTCTCCTTTTATGTTTACACAAATTGTGTGCTTTTAGGTAGCAAACTTTTACAGGTTGACTCACTGAAGAACTAAATTTTGCTTCACACTACTAAAGCACTTCATTCCCTGTTACATTTCCTTCCTGATGAATGGTTACAGTTTTAGTGATTAGAACATTTGAAAGAATTTAATTAGTAAAAACAGAAGAGCTGGTTTCAATGTTAAAACATGTTATTAGAAACAGTGTTCAAAGTGTCACTGCTAAACTTTGGCAGAGTAATTGAATACCCCAACAGCCCTCATCCCTGCATGGATTGTACCAGGGAGCATTCAGCAGAAATCCAGAAGGCAGTTGGTAACAGCTGAGGCTGAAGTAGCACAGCCCAATCTGCAGGAGATGATTGGGAATTGTTTAAATAAATAAGGGATGCCACAGTGTGTTATCATCCATGTTACATCAGTACCTTTCCTGTTCTTGCAATAAATCTCAAAATTGTAAGAAATACTAACAGTTTGTGATGGCAGTTCAAAATAAGCTTGGAAAGTAGAGAATTCACATTCAATCATGGGGCAAGATTTATGTTCATCTCACCAAAGTAAATAAATTAATTTGTGCTAAATGTTTAATTATCCTTTTTACATTTTGTTAGGGACCTCAGCTGCATTAATGTATATGCCCTGTCTTTATCCTTACAGTCCAACTTACTTGTCACCTCTGAGGGTGACTGTCCTGTAAAACTAGTTTTAATTCTTCCACTAGGGTATAATTGATTTATTCTAACTTGTAATTGAAAGTGCTTTCTGATATTCAGAAGAAATTGTCAAAGAACAGGAGAACTTTTGGATAAGATTTTGTTCTCGTTTGAGCTAGTATGGCGCCCTTCTTAATGCAGGGAATCTAGGCCGTATTTTTCTTACCTAGATTTGTCTGGAGGTCAATTTTGAACTCAGCTGACTGGCTGTATCATGCCTCTTTGAAAGGTGGCTGCTCCTGGCTCTGTGCAAATACTCAGTTGCAGTCAAAATCTGAATTTCCACTGCCCCTGGGGGAAATATCTTTATCAAAAGTAATGCGAGAGTGTTTTAAGCCTTATTTATTTGTATTTACTGTTATAATTTATATGTAAACAGTTTGAGTTCAGTTGAATTCAGTTAAAGTTTCCAAACTCATCTTTTCCCTTTACCTTCCTCTCTTTAACGCACATGAATAAGTGCAGAATACATCAACTTTAAGAAATGATGATGGTTTTGATGACTGTTAATGAGTAGTGCATAGATAACCCCCCAGGCTTATCAAATTAATCCAATCCATCACATTTTTAGAATGAGAGTCTTTAGCTTTAGGTTAAAAAGCCTGGGATAGTCTAACCAAGAATGGGCTGTGCATTTCTGATAGCTTTGTATCATTCTAGGATGAAAGTTAAAGATGCTCTCTATTTTTAGCAGTTACGAAAACAAACCAAAAAAATGCAATTAATTTCAAATATTGCCTGTACATTTTCTTAGGCCTAGCTATTTAAGCTACATTCCTGCTGAAGCTAACGCCTGACCCAGTTCAAATTGCACAGCAGTTCAGTTAAATTTCTGGATGAGATATCGGTTTCTTTTCAGTTGACATCTCTTGACATACTTAAAATTTCAGTCTGTATGTTCAGTTATGTTTGTCCCATGGAGCCACTAAATTGACTGTTCCAATGTTTTTCATAATGTTTTTCTTGGAAAGTCTTTTGTTTTAAACACGATACTGTGGTCAGTTTCTGTTCTTTGTTGCTGGTATATTAATACTACTACTAATGTTTTTGTCATGAAGCAAATCGTGTACATGAAATGTTCATCACCAGTTACGTTCATTTTCCTAGCATGCACATAACATGAAAAAGAGATACTTACACAATAGCACTCAGACTTATCACAGAGTCGGGCTATATCCAATAAATAATGAAGCACTCTCTGTAAATGAAAAGTACCATAGAATGATTCATTGAGTAAATATACAAAGTTCAGTGACCTTCTATGATTAAGGCAAACAATTGCTACATAGCTTGCACATGTGGCTTTATTTTAAGATTTGTATTAGTGATCTCATAGAACTTGAAAGTACTCGAGGAACACATACACATGCTTTGTATTGAAGGCATTCCTTTGGTAGAAGTGATGTGGAGTGATTACTTTTTGACCCTTTTATATGTTTTTAGCTTTATATGTGTGCAGCTGTATTAGTTGTAAGACATAGGATGTCCCCAAATGCCACAAATACAAGACCATGCTTGTTTAAAGAAAACTGTGAGTCTTTTCAATTTACTGAGGTTAAAGTCTAATCCCAAGAAGAATATAAAGGTAAATGTGATGAAAAAAAAAAAAAAGGGTTTTACTGAAAACAAACGATATTCGCTTGTGTATTTTCAGCTGGTAAGCATCTAACTAACAAAGATGAGATCAAAGGAATTCATTGGGCCTCGTGGACCTGTGTGATAGGATCTGAAGTAAATGGTATTTGGCCAAAGTACACAAACGTGACAGATGTCAACTCTGTGGATGGTAATTACAACAGCTCAGTGCTGGTGACTGGGGATGATTTTGGGCTGGTTAAGTTATTCAGATTTCCATGCCTAAGGAAAGGTAAGACAGTATTTTCTATTTCTGAAGAATGCGATGTTTGTTTAGTTCCACAGCAGTATATTTTCTGATAACGGCATTAGATTCAGGTGTATAATTCACATTTCTCTGTGAACAACTCACAATTAGTTTTGTTGGACAGAATGATGAGATTTTAACTGTCCTATTTAGCAGTTCCCTGCCAACGTATTTGCACTTGTTTGAAAACCATTGAGAACATATCATTTAACCATGTAGCTATTCTGATGATACCTTGTCATCCAAACCTCAGCAGGGTCTACTAGAACAAGTCAGTATAGCTCTGGGTGAGTTATTTATCTTTGGAGTTGGCTGTAGTTTATTTCTTTTTTAACATAGTTTTTTTCCTTGGCATCTACACTGTAATACATATAATGTATACACAACTAAAAGTAACAACCTTTTGACTTCCCATGTTCTTTCATGATTAAGTTGAAATCTGTATATTTTCTGACTCTGCACTTGAATTATTGTGTATTAGCATGTGTGTAATTCACTTGAGCATTAATGGCCACAGTATAAATAACTAACCCTATCTGTACAGATACATATGGCTGTTTAGATATAGATATAGATATATAGATACTTCTTGCCAGGATTTAATTACTTTTTTCTGAAAACTGAAGTAAGCCTGTTTCTTGAGGTATTTTATGCCATTTATTTTTCTGTGGTTACTATTAATATCAGAATACCCAAGCAGGCATTTAAGTATTTTTGTAACTTTCATTTCTGTTTCCTAGGAGAAATTAGAGCTTGTTTCTTTTGAAAGACAAACTTTATTAGCTATCATGGTTGCTTTTCTTTATTCTTCTATATGAGCTGTTCTATTTGTGCCTTTTAGGAGCTAAATTTAGAAAATATGTTGGCCATTCAGCACATGTAACCAATGTCCGATGGTCCCATGATTTTCAGTGGGTTTTAAGCACAGGAGGTGCTGATCACTCTGTTTTTCAGTGGCAATTTATTCCAGAAGGGATAACAAATGGCATCCTTGAAACAGCTCCACAAGGTAAAAATGGTGTTTTTTGAGTTATTTATTGAATGAAATCAACAGAGAATTCAGCAATGATGAAATGTATTTTACTGAACTGAGAAAATAGTTTTGATTCCTTGGTATGTTGTACACTTAAAAGCCAGACAAACTACATAATGTCAGTTGCTGAAATTTTTGTTCCCTTCAGTAAAAGGGCAAAAAATCAGTCAGTACCTGCAGAATTGGCAAAATGCTTTTGTTATAGCAAATCTTCTTAAACACAGATAATGATCACGCTGGAAGTTTTTATTTACCATTTTTGTATCATCACTCCAAAACCTGTGAAAAAAGCATTACTCTCTCAGATGATGGAAATGTACTAAAAACTATTTAGTTATTCTCTTCCCTCTGCCACCATCCTGCCCCAGGCACTGAAAAAGGAGAAACAGAAATTAAACCTGACACATTCAGTCACCTCCTATGATTCTTACAAGCTGCTTTTGATTCCAAAGTTGACTACTACCAAAGCATAATGAAAGCATTGCATGCTATTTCCTTGTAATTAGGTGTCTGCTATATAATGATTATTTTTATGCAGAGGGTGGCATTGATTCCTACAGTGAAGAATCAGATTCAGATTTATCTGATGTGCCGGAGTTAGATTCTGACATTGAGCAAGAAGCTCAAATCAACTATGATCGTCAGGTGAGTCAAAATTAATACACTGTGCCAATTATCTGACAAGTTATCCTCAGTATTTAGTAAACATAAGCAAAAGAGGTTTCCAGCTAATTCATCATCCTGCTCTAAGAAGATTATTTTGACAGTATTCAACTGATTACGCAACCAATATACATAAAAACAGAGTTTACTTTAGCTGCAGATGGGAATTTATAAGGGCTTTAGCATATCTGTATGTAAAACTATCTATTGAAATAAGGAATATGGCTTACAGAGCAAAGTCAAACATTTTGCAAGAGCATATTGCTATCCCCATTCCCTTGATACGTGTTAGAAAAGATCATTCTGTCCTATTAAATTGAGAAACATAATTTGTAAAATAGAGATCATGGATTTTTTTTCTATGATTTCTGCATATTCAAAGCAGAATAATCCTCTTAATGAGTGTAAAGCCTGCATAATACATTTATTTGTGACAGATTCTTCTTTATTACCAATGATAAAACTTCCAATAATTAAAATCTCTCTGGCTTATATGAGATCCAAGTAAAACTGCTCTCTAATGGTCACTTAATGCACTTCATTACCTTCCTGTTTTCAGTACAACTGTGTTCTAAGGTAAATTTAAATAGATTGTTTCCATGCTAGAAGGACAAAATCAAATGACTATTCTTTACTACGTTGATTTTTTTTCAGGAATCATCGTACACCATTTCACTCTTTAATCTCATCTTTCAATGTCAATCTATGAGAATTGTTCTATTATTTTGATTAAAATAAAAATCTAATGAGTATCCTTTCAGCTTTAATTTTTAAAGTGTTTAAAATTCTATTCAATTTTAATGGAACATCACAGAATGATTTAGCCTGGCTCATACTCCTCATATTGTTTGTGCATAAGACTGATTCTGCTTTGGCCAGTGTGACTTAACATCATTTAGAATCCTTTTGATTACTGCAATAAATAGAAGCAAAATAGAGTTTGAAGTTTTCTGATTCAGATCCATTTATTTACAAAGTTGAAACACAATCTTGTTTCTTTATGACAACCTATTTGAGATATATCAGTAATATCTTCATTTCAAGTTCTACACAGTGAATAACAAAAAAGCCCTCTCTGTTCTCTTTCTCTTGTGATCATAGCCCCAGTGCTTCTCTTGCTTTTTCCTTGGACTTCTTGGGATTTCTCTCTGGTGAAAACTTCATCAACTTCTGAGCTTGCCCTTGAATGTCTTTTCCACAGAGAAATGCAGTTCTTTTCACTTGAACTCTATCCTTACTGAAAATTATTTTGTTACATAGCTTAGCTTCTGCTGGTTTCACATGAGCTACATGTTTTGAATAGCAGGTTCTATATCATAAAAATGTCTTTACACTCGTCCTGGCTAAAAGACATCTCTTATGCCCTTCAGCTCTGATGAAGTGCTGGGGTGCTGCTGTCATGCTCATGTCTGGCCATGGACCCTGCTGATCCAGACTTGTCTTGGGTCTGTCTTGGGTCTTTGTTTGATTTTGGACCTGCTTTATCATATTTGCCAGTGTCTGGAAATCACTGGTGGCTGGTTGGGAAACTTGCAGTCAGTTACAGTAACTATCTCTTATTGCCATCTTTGTATCAGATTCTGACTTGCTGACTCAGTGTGCCAACCTGACCTTGCATCTGTTTGGTTGCTATGGGCTTGTCAATATTGTGTGCTCATGATCACTGATCTTTATAACAGTCTATGATGTGGAAGGGCGCTGTTATCTTTGTTTGTTGTGAAGGCAAAGGAACATCAACATCGAATTCTGCTCTCTCTCTCTCTCTCTCTCTCTCTCTCTCTCTCTCCCCCCTGATTTTGGCTTCTGGTTTAAATATCTGGGGCTTGATTTTTGGAATCCATTGTTGTGAGGAGATTACTATTTGTCACCTTGACAAGTGACCTGAGCAGTTGCAATGGTCAAAGGTCAGAACTTCTACAGACCAGACATAATCTCATGCTATGTACCTGAGAATGCAAAATATACAATAAGCTTGGTTCAAGTTAGTTTGAGTCACTTAGTGGCAGACATGGAGTTTCTTTCTAGAATGCTGACAGGTCACCTCTAACATTCCATGCTTTAGTAAAGCACTATCCTTTGTCTTTTCTCTGCACATTACAGATTCTGCATTAAGTGGCTCAGGTCCTTCAGCCAACAGCTTATTTTACCTCTTTGTTATGGAGATCTATTGTGTTTGCCAAATGAAACAGAGATTTTGCAATATTTGCTCCCTGGCCTTTCTTTTACCCCAGAACTGTCTGGTGTACTTGTCCCAGCCTCCCCCTTCTCCTTATTCTCCCTCTGCATGCAAATCAGACAGCATCCTCCTCCACACTATGCATCAAAAAGAACATCTGGAATTAAAAGCTGAAAATGAAAAAATAGTTTTAGGCAGTTAAGGTGAAATGTATCAAGCAGATTAAAGTATGGCAAAGCTAGAAGCAGCATGAAATAGAATCTTAGACAGGAAATATGAGACATCAAGCATATGAAGTACACGTAGAGGAAAATCACTTGTTAGAGGAAATTATAAAAGCACTTGGAAATTTAAAACCATGAATCTCATTTTTAGAAGTGGGTATGGCTTTTTGTAGTAGAAATGCAGAGTCAGAGCCTGAACCAGTCATTGAGCACCTGGTAGGAAGGCAAAGCCAACCCAGGGAGCTCAGCTGCACGCAATGCACTGAGCGACCAGAAGGGGTGGAATCAGGATCCACACTTTCCCAGACCTCATTTAAGGCTTGGCAGGGGTGGGGTGGGAAGGGTGTCTTGTTGGGGACCCCTTCCTTCCTGAGGCCTTCAAAGGTAAGCAGCTGTTTTCCTTCATTTTTGTGTCTATAGCTGCATTGTTTGGATTTGTCCTTGTTTGCTGTCGCTTAAGGCTTTGCCTCCCTGCTATTATCAGGGTAATTTCCATTGCATTATAGCATTACACTTTTTTTTTTTCCTCTGAGTTTATGGCTGAAGCAGTGTAGGGATAGATATTGGATATTATAGAGATAGGTTCTTAGATATTGAAGTGTATTAGAAAACAGTAATCCTTGATTCTTATTCATTAGCAGCATTCTCTGAGGAGCAGAGTAGATAGTCAAGAACGCTCAGGACAAAGTAGAACCCATATGAGTGACAGATAAAGTGTGTTAAGGTCTACTTAGTTACCACTATCAAAAACTCATCTCAAGTTATGTGAACATTTTACTTGTATAAATCCAGCGTGTTGTCTTTGAGGTCAGACACAGTTCTACAGCACTAACGATTTAATTGTCCTTTGTGGAAAAATGAAAGGAACAACAGGAAATGTAGGTACAGTAAAAGAGAAAAAAAAATAATAATCAGGCTCTGTCTCCGCGTTGTAACAAATGTAGTTTAATGCCACTGCTTTCAAGAGGCTTCAGACATCATCAGCAATCCCACAGAGTTTCAGAATTCCTGAAAGATTTTAATGCATGGTGTCTGTGCCTGTAGCATTATCTATGGAGGTTCTCTTTTCTGGTTTCAGATGTATTGGCAAATCACTTAGGTACTGTTGGGCACTGTATGTTTAATCGTGATATCTAGGCAGAATTGGTTCATTATGTTCAGCTCTGATTACATACTCTGAAGTACATTTGAAGTTAAAAAGATGCTTAGAGACTTGATGGTTTCAGTCAGTATTGTGAATCCTTTTCACTGACAGACAATGGAATCTGGTAGGAAAAATGAGCTCTGCTCCAGAGTAACGCAGTGTCCTTCACGTGTCAGGAGACTCCACTGTCTGGAATAGATTTATTATCATCGTTAGGGGTTCTGCAGGAATGAATAGTGACTTCCTCTTTCTTGTAACTACTGACCATCACTTTAACAGTGTGTTAAGTTGTAAAACTTGTATGAAATGGTGTTTTTCTTGCATGTACACAAATATTCAGAAATGTTTGGAGCTGTGCTATTAATGTTAACAATTATTCTTCAGGTTTACAAAGAAGACCTACCTCAGCTGAAACAACAAAGTAAAGAGAAAAACCATTCTGTTCCTTTCCTCAAAAGAGAACGAGCGCCTGAGGACAGTCTAAAATTGCAGTTTATACACGGGTAGAGCAATATTAAATAATGCTTTCTTTTCCTTTTTTTTTTTTTTTTTTTTTTTTTTTTTTCCTGGTTTTTAAAACATCCTAACAATTATACTCAGGATCAGAGCTTACTCACAACTAATTTATTTGTCACTGCTGCTGTACATAATTTATGGAATATCAACCATAGACTTTGTTTTCTTTCAGTTGTGTATGGTAAGGAACAAGAGAAGATTGTAATAATCTAGACATATATTAAATAATACCCGAGCAGTGCATTTCATAAAATTACCTTCTATTGACTCAACCGTATGTATCCCAGAGCAAAGATTCTATTTCTGATAGCTGTGATTTGTCACATTGCCTAACAGCTTTGTTCTTGAACCCAAATCTCTGTAAAGCTGGCTGTAGTTCTGTGCACTCTACATATTCTTTCCTGTGATGTCAGTACTAATTTAAGAGTTTACTGCAAAGTAAACCGTGAAGATTGATGACTTTGGTAGGAATAGTGTCTCTCTGCCTATGTGGTGAGATAGTTTTGAGACGGGAGGGTTGAAAGCCCTGCTGTACTATCAAATCAATTTGCACAATTTGTTACACAATGTACCAGAATATTTTTAAAACAGAATGTAACTTGTTTCATGTTTACTTCAGTTATAGGGGCTATGACTGTCGAAATAACTTGTTCTACACACAGACTGGAGAAGTGGTGTATCACATTGCTGCTGTAGCTGTTGTATATAATAGGCAGCAGCACTCTCAAAGGCTGTATCTCGGCCATGATGATGATATCCTCAGCCTAAGCATTCACCCAGTGAAAGACTATGTTGCTACTGGGCAGGTAGGTATTTAGCAGAGATGATTTTAGAAATCCGTGGAAATAAGTTGCCTTTATGATTTATAATTAGGAGAAAAATAGATTTGCTATTTTACATTCACTTTGAATTTCTGCTTTTATCTGTGAAGTGTATTTTTTATCTACGTCCTAGGCATTTTTGATGTATCATTAGTCTCAGTGTAGGGCAAGCTTAAAGAAAGGGGATTTTGTGCATGGATATATAGATATATAGAGAAGGGAAAGGAAAGAGGTGAGAAAACAAGAAGCTGAGGGAGAAAGTTGTGTGGACTTTTATTTCTAATTAAACTAGGCATCCCTGAGAGAGAAGAATGAGGGTATGTATAACTGTGTGTAAAAGAACAAGTAAAAAAGTTTTAGTTTGGAAAACTGTCTAAGTTGACTGATTCTGAGATCCAGTTTACAACATAGAGGCAGACATACTTCTCATACCACAACTAATGAGGCTGTGAACTTCTCACAAGGTGAGAATGGACTTTTCCATGAATGCAGTATATCAAAGTTCCACGCTCCGGTGTGCTTGAAATGAGTTGTGATACAGAAGAGAAAATAGTCTGTGAAAAAGATAAAATACAGCAAGGAGAAAAATAGTTACCTCTGGAGTGTTTTGAAGATGTGATAGTGCTAATTACTGATATTGGTGTGCTTTGAACTTTATGAGCAGATATTTGAATTAATCCTCTGATTCAGGTTGGAAGAGATGCTGCTATTCATGTTTGGGACACACAGACGTTGAAGTGTTTATCATTACTCAAAGGCCAGCATCAAAGAGGAGTGTGTGCACTGGATTTTTCAGGTACATTGCTCTAAGTGATTAATTAAAAAGCAATCCTCTTGGTGAAACTTTTATTTGAATAGCTATGACAGTTAGTTTTGTTCTTTGTGTTAAATGACCATTTTACAGTCAATACAAGTTTTACATAAAAGCCTTTCTGACAGTTTTGATAAAAATTGTTTGAGCAATGAATCAGTTATAGGACTCTTTTACAATCCATCACTAATTCTTCTGAATGTCTAATTCATAATACCGAGTGTACAGCTGGGACTCAAATGGCTTTCTACATGATGGCATAATAATTTAAAAGCAGGCAGAGCGATCACTTGAAGTGTGCAAATGAGATGGCATTGTGATCTCCAGGCTCATGCAGTTCTTCAAATTTGCTAACGTTTTTCAGTGGGTTTACAGAAGCAGATATGATAAACAGTTGTCTGCTGCTTCTCCTACTTGCCTTTCTGGGATGAATGACCTGAGCTCTCAGTTGTCTAAGGGCAGCTCCTGTATTCAATTTTCAGTCACTCACATGATGGTGATTCACACAATTTTGTGTTTTTATAAAATCTTACCAATCCATTACTCCTTTCTATTAAATTATTTTTTTATCTGTCTACTCCCAAATATGAATGAGAAAGAGGGAAAGAAACACTACTCTTGGAGAACCAATCTACTCTTCCTTGTTTACAGTCTTGCTAAGAGTCTTAATCACAGTTTGAAAAGTGACTTGTGCAGTTAGTCTCAGATGAGCCTAACTTTGGAAAACAGGACAGAAATTATTTGGAGCCTTTAAAAATTTTTTTATTCATTTGTGAGAATACAGTGCTTATGGATAATATATAGCACAGGATTTAAGAAGTGATTACAGTGATTCCTTTGAGCCGGAAGACTTATGGAGAGTGCTTGAACAGTACTTAGAATGCTATGCATTATCAGATTAAACATTTATGGATAGTTAACGAAACAGTGCCTAACTCCTGTGTGCTGCTAAGCAGGAATAGGATCTAAATTGCTCGGTTTGAAAAGAGTGGGGCACATCCAGGAGTGCACATAGTCACTCCAGTATGCTAAGGGTGAACAGGTTGCCCAGAGAGGATGTGGAGTCTCCTTCTATGGAGATATTCAAGTCCCATCTGGATATCTACCCAGGTAGGTACCCAGCAGGTACTTGCTTTAGCAGGGGGGTTAAACTCACTGATCCTTTGAGGTCCTTTCCAACCCCTACAATTCAGTGATTCTACCAGTGTAAAAATTCATCAGGAACTCATGATCTCAGAACAAAGTAGAATTCTAAAATTCTGCTTCTCCTTATGCACTCAGTTCTTCTCATAGACCTGGCCCTTGGTGTGACACATCCATTTTACCTTCAGACAAAAGCTGTCCTACGTCACACTTAAATTATAAAAGATTTTAAAGTCTAACAAATATTGTGGCTACCCACTACTTTACCTTAACTATCATTTTCTGAACTCAGATTTTTATGTGGGCTTCAATTAAGCATGATCTATTTCACATTCTGCTCTGTTGTAATGTCAGAATTCATTATGGCACGTTAGATCACATTTATTAGACAGGACCATGTGGAAGAGTCTTCCATAAAGATAAGTCTGGAACTGACTCATATTCCATTATCCGAAGAGGAGCCTTGGTGTTCATCCAAGCAGTGTGAAATTGCTGATACACTGCAGTGTGAAACCTAGTAAAGTTGGTCCCAGGAGAAGGGGAAATGGATAGAGATGATCTGATGGGCATTGTGTGTGTAGATGTTAAAAAAAGAAAAAATGTCATTGAGAACTGTATTTGAACAAAATACAGTTAGGAAATACGTTGTGATCTATGTTCTCATTAAAATTAGATTTCTCTCCAGTTACTTATATCCCATGTATTAAAATATATATACCTTCATAAAATCATATTGATCACATACTCTATGGGCATTAAATAATTGTTTTTTAAGAAGTAAGAATGACTGGCATAAAGACAGTGTTGCTTTAAACCTAATCCTGAAAAAGCACATATTGAAAAAGTCTTCATTTCCTACCTAAATGGCTTTAGTTTAGGTTCTTGACACTGAATGGAACAGATGCTACAGGATCAGAGGGCTGGTTTGGCCCTGCGAAGGCAATTTTCATTGTGTTAATAAGAGATGTTTCCAAATTAGTTACAGGTTGCACTATGCAAAGCTTTAAAAAAAAAAAAAAAGTTGCCCTGAACCCCAAAGATGCCTTTTTTCTTTCTGTCTTAGTTGATCTGGTGGCTAACTTTATACTACCCTTCCTCTCTGCCCATACTTTCAAAAGCATCTGCTATTGGCCACTGAGCTCAGTGTACAGAGCCAGATCACTTTTGTAGGACTGTTTTGATCATCTTATGATTCTGATGTTGTAATTATGTTCATGCAGTGTTTGATTGTGCCCTCTGGTGGTTATTAATCAGAATGTGTAGCCTAAATTAATGCATGAAGCCTGTTTGATGTGAATAAAGTTGTAAAGTTGTATTCTTAACAAAATATTTTTTCCTTGACTTATTTGAGTTACCTTTAAAAATAATTATCTTTATTATGATATTATGCATCTTTCCTAAAGAAATAATGCATGTCACTGCATATTTTTGTATCAGCTGTATTCATAGTGGTTTTGCTCATTAAAGCTGTTCTAGAATGGTTCTTACTGTCTCCTTTGGTTTCTTTTCGCACCAACTTTTTGTCTCCTTGTTTGTATCTTTATTTTCTTTACTTTTTAAAAACTGTTTTGGTTTTATTTCTTGTTTTTCAGCTTCATCCCTTCCTTCTTTCTAGGCCTACGTTCTTCAACTGTGAACTCTAGTTCCCCTTCTCCTCTCGGGCCTGTTTTTCATAGAACTTAGTCATGTAAGATGCTGAATACTGTGAGGCCAGTCCAGTATGAGAGTCTGTTTGGCCTTGTGAACCCTGAAGTAGTGGAATCATTTGTACCCATGACATGCTTTCTTCTTTCATTTATAATATCACTTGAAATTCAGTTTAAAGTGTATTTGTTGTATCCATTCCCTGCTGTATGTTCAGTTAAAGACTAATCACCTTTAACATTAAGTACTGCTTTTGTACAGCTGATGGAAAATGTTTGGCATCTGTTGGGCTTGATGATAATCATGCCATTGTGTTTTGGGACTGGAAAAAAGGAGAGAAGCTAGCAACAACCAGGTAAGAGTTTCTCAGTGTGTGTCCTGTGATTACATTTTTTGGAATCTGGTCACCCACGCGTGTTACTCTGGGAAAACAAACAGCACACCTCTGAAAACAGGATGGTGTTTCAGAGCGATGTATCCAGATGTAGTTCCCAAGCCTTTCCAAGTTATTGTGTGGAAGTCTGGTGAACTTTTTCTATCAAGATTTTCCTCACCTTTCTGGTAGGATCATTATGTTGATATTAAAGGTCACTTACTGATTTTCCACTTCAGTTAATTTTTTTCTCCTCATTTTCTGAGTCAGAGCAGAGCTTATCAAAAAAGTTGTGTTCATTTTTGTGTTAGTTTGTGTGCTGGGTTACATTGGTATAAAATATATCTGCAGCTCACTTTTCTTGAAAGAAAAATGGATTCTGTCTGGTATATGTGGATTTTTCAACCTCTACTGATTTTTGCATTCTTTCTGAATCAGCTCTTTGCCTCATTGGAAGCGTAGTTCTTTCACCTGCAGTGAAGAAGCTTTTGCAGTTGCTTCAAGAGACCATTGTTGGGAAGAGGATTGTATTACAGTTTGTGTTTGCAATTCAACCTTTCAGAGGAGAAAAGTAAAGTTTTCTTTGTATTGAAGAAATTGCACAGTTGTAGTATGAAAGCTTGGTCTCACCTCGGGTAAACCTGGGGTAGCTCTGAGATCAAAATACTGGAATTGTGTAGATCTAAGAATGCACTTGCATACCAGGAAGGCAGGGAGTTCATTTCGTCTGCTGTCTACAACCATGCAACGTACAAGTCACTTATTACTTGAAAAATACTAGAGAATTGTGAAATAATGCCTGAGAAATATAACTTAGTATTAAGCTGTGACTTGTTCCAGAATAAATAAGTTTTTTTCCTGGCAGCGCTGTCTGCTAGTAGTGTACCACAAAGAAATAATTTTTATTCCAGTGTGCATATAACATAATATATATATTGACTATATCACTTTCTCTCATTATCTTATTAGGCACCAAATTTTAAATCTTAATTAAAATTTGTGATGTAGGGATTGCTTAGCAAAATTGTTGTCCGTGTTGTAAAACAGTTCATTTGCTTTCCAGTCCTAGTTTCACTCTCTCCAGACCTACTGCGCTTCAGACACACAAGTGTAGAAATACCTTATATATTCCCATAGGGACCTTCTAAGCTTTGAAAAACAAGATGGGGATGGGCTGTAGCAGCTGCCTGTCTTGGGGAAAGATGCAGAATCACATGCTTGGGTTCTTCTCAGTGTAATTATTTATGTTTTAGAAGTGCCTACAGACAAGTCCCCACTCTGAGCACACCAGGGCATATAGGAAAGAGGAGGAGTGAAAAAAATAAAAGACAAGTGTTTAGATGTGGCTCTCACAGGGCCTTGGCAGGCAGGAATATCTTACTATTGTATTTTGACCCACATCTAGAGGACGAAGCCTGAAACTGTACGTTCCCTGTTTACAAACAGTCATTTTTTTGTGTGTATTCTTGCTTGTTTTTTTTAAAGTGTGATTTATTGCCTCATGACTTCTGTTTTCTTCTGATGCCACAGTATACTCTCATGTATATGTTTTTGTTAACTGCATAAGTTATATAGCTTGTTTCCCTATCTATCTTAGCTTTACGATGTTCTGTCTACTTTAATTAAAATCCTTTTTGAGTAAGCATATGCTGTTAAGGCATATCAGAGCTTCTTTCACTCTTATTGATGCTGGTCCTATTTGACTGTAGTGTTTTGTGTTAGTGGACTGCAGTCACTAAGGGAGCACTGTCAAATTTATCTATGGTCTGAATCAGTAACCATTGTACTCCTAGAACTTCATTCTGTAACAGCAGGTTTCCCATGTCAGTTTCTTGAATCACAGGGACACAAACTGCACAGGCCTGGATACATGTTTTGGTCTGACCTTTGTGGGTAATTGGGGTCCGAATCTAGGCCATACATTTGCAGCATATATCCAGTTCTCACGTGCCAGCACTATGCATCTTACCACATGGTCGGACATACTCATATCATTTTATGGGGGACATCTGCGCTGGCATGCAATTACTTTGACTTTGGACATTTTGGCTGTGTGATAAATATTTCTAGAAGAGGCAGTATGACCTGCCTGCAAAGAAAGACATCATAATAGCAAAGTGACAGATCAGGAGAAGGAAGAATTCCAAAATGATGTTCTTCAAATGTTGGTGAAGTAAGACTTTTTGTTGTTGTTGTTTTTGTTTAGATTGATTCAGCAAAAGAAAATACTGAAGCCAAGATTCTCAGAGTCAGGTGTTGGTTTTTTTATTTTGTTTTGTTTTGTTTTGTTTTTAATTAGATCTTCTAAACCGGTCTAACAAAAATCCTGGGTCTAATCATAGACTCATTTGAGTTGGAAAGTACCTGTGAAGGTCATCTAATCCAACTCCCCTGCAATGAACAGGCACATTTAGAGAGATATCTGGTGCTTAAAGCTCCATCCAGCCTGACGTTGGTTGTCTGCAGGGATGGGACACCATCACCTCTCTGGGCAACCTGTGCCGGTGTCTTACTGCCTTTGTTGTCAAAAACTTCTTCTTTATATCCAATCTAAATCAACCCTCCTGAAGTGTGAAACCATTTCCCCTTGTACTGCCACAACAGACCTTCCTAAAGTGTCTGTCCCCTTCTTTCTTGTAGCCCTCCTTTAGATACTAAAAGGCCACTTTCAGGTGTCTCGTAGAGGAGGTATTCCATTCCTGGGCTCGTTTTTGTGGCCCTCCTCTGGAGGTGAACCAATAGGTCCACATCTCTCCTGTAGTGAGCACTCCCTATCTACCCTACACAGTGCTCTATCCCTACCCTACACAGTGCTCTATCCCTACCCTACACAGTGCTCCCCTCCCCTGCCCTGCTGGCCATCTTTTGATGCAGCCCAGGATGCGGTTGGTTCTCTGGGCAGTGAGAGCACAGTGCTGGCTCATGTCCAGCTGCCATCCACCAGTACCCGCAGGTCCTTTTCAGCAGCGTTGTGCTCTATCCTTCCATCTCCTAGCTTGTATTGATAGTGGGAGTTACCATTACCCAGGGACAGGCCTTGCACTTGGATGTGTTGAATTTCATGAGGTTCTCCTGGACCCACTGCTTGAGCCTGTCTGGGTCTCTCTGAATGGCATCCCATCCCTTGGGCATCAAGCTATAAAACCTGGATGTTCAGGTTGAAAAAAGTAGTTTTTGCTCTTAGTGCTTTAACATCCTGAAGCAGAAAATGATTGTTATATTGAGATTCAGAATTTTTTTTTTTTGGTAATGATGAAATTTAATTTTACAAATGTCCGTAAGTACATGCTCAAACAAGAGTACCTTTACTGAAGAACTAAATTTGAAGGTATATTTGAAGGTTCATTTGCTAAATGAACTGTTTTCTAGACTATGATTTTATAATTTATTTGAGTTTTCCTCTTGAATCGCAATAGGTTTGAGACTTCCTTGTGATTATTTTTTTAATAGATTATTTTAAATATTCATAAACCACATTCTTATCCCTTTAAATATTTATGTTGCCCTTTATGCTGTCTTTTAATTGCATTGAACTTTGTTTCCTGCCTCTTCATCATAACTTAATGGAACTGACATTCAGTGAGAGATGGTTTTTATTCACCTTGTTTCTGTAGTCTAATTCATACACAGCCTATAATCAACTACATTCTTCTCTCTTGATTGGATTCCTAAGGCTAAACCGTTGAAGATTAGGAGTATTGTTCTCTCTTTTTTTGTTAGATAGGATAACTGTGGCAAAGAGAACTTTGGGATATCTCTGTGAGTCATCTGCCAGTGATGGTGTTAGAGATCCCTGTTGTTTTAGCACCAAGAGTACAACAGCTGTGACAAACAGATTCTTGTTGCTAAAGACTGTTTTTGAATTGTCCAATACTGTGAAATAATTACTTGAAACAGACTACTTCGAAATGTTAAGTAATCCCTTAACTTCCTGTTTTTAATTTTTATTACAGGGGTCATAAAGATAAAATATTTGTAGTAAAATGTAATCCACATCATGTAGACAAGCTAGTCACGGTTGGGATGAAGCATATCAAATTTTGGCAGCAAACAGGTATCATACTGAATATTTTCTATTTACCTTATTTGTGGATTTATATCTATTTAATTAAGGGACATCATGTTTTCTGTTTAATAGTTTGTTTTTTTTGTAAAAGACCATTCTAGTTATCAGAATAGGAGCATTCAGCAAATGCCACAGTATTCCTTTCTCTTTGGAGAAAGTCATTTGGATGTAATTTCTAGCTCATTGGTTCTTTTCATTCTAGTCATAGTATTGAGAGTTTCTCCTGGATTGGCTAGCATCTTGGTTCCCAGAAAAAATACAGTCCCCTTAATTTACTCAGGCAGTATATGACTCTTATTGTGAAAATCCCAGCCAGTGGCACACTGCTAAAAAATAAATAAACAATAAAAAAAATTAATTAGATGACTCTAAGAAGTTCCTATGCTTACACTGTAATTTATAAGGTTCAAGTGCCCTCAGCTTAAAAATTACTTTTTTTCCTCCATCATTAATGTCTAGGGTATTTTTGCAATAACTCAATGTACTTAATTGCTGTTTGCCAATGTGTATTACATTCATTTGCATTAAGCAGTATTTTACTCCAAGAATAATCTCTTTGCAGTAAAAGAATGATGTCCTTTGAAACACTGTTGTCTAGAATTGACTGAAGCAAGGATAGCATTGCATGTATTGTTTTGTAATTGTACACATATTTTTGCCTAAATGATCCCAATTCACGGGTGGTAATGGCATTCTAAACCAAAGTGAGTAATGCAGTTGTGGCACAGTGAGGCTTTTTGGCAATCTAGAAATCCTGCCATTCGTTCTGCAAAACTGCTGTCAAATTTTTTATTTGGGCCAGTAAAGCAAACCTCTGTCTTTGTTGTTGTGATAACCTCTGAAGAGCTTGGCAGGCTGTTCTGTACAGAAATGTTCTGCCTGCCCCTTGTATTAATTCTTCTATACAATTCATTGCCAATATTTAACAACTGCTTGGAAGTAATGATCTGAAAGATACAGTCTGTACTGCTTTAAATCTCTCATTGCTAGACTGATTTGCCCTTACTGTGTTTTTCCCTTCTGCACTGTGTTTTCAGTATTTATCTGCTGTGTCTTAGGCAGCCATAACAGATGATGATGTCAAGACTTTTGTCTTTTACAGCACTACGGCTACAAACTGAAATATAAAGGACTTTTTTTTATGTTGCAGGTGGAGGCTTTACGTCGAGACGAGGAACATTTGGAAGCAGTGGAAAATTGGAAACTATGATGAGCGTTTCATACGGGCGAATAGAAGACTTGGTTTTCTCTGGTGCTGCTACTGGAGACATTTTCATCTGGAAGGATACTCTATTGCTCAAGACAGTGAAAGCCCATGATGGACCTGTATTTGCAATGCATGCATTGGATAAGGTATTTGTCTTCTTCTGTGATCCATGCATCTTTATTATTTTTATTTCTAAATCCATATTGGTATTATCACCATACCTTAGGCAAGCAAGACTTCAGGTATGGAAAGGTTTTATTTTCCAGAGTTGATTATTCCAGATATCAGTATTATTTTCCTTCAGATGCAACAATAAATCTTTTAATGAAACTGAGGCAAATAAAAATATGTCACTGATATCACATCAGTGAGCGTATCTTGAGAGACTAACTTCTACTACTAGAATCCACTCACAGTTTGAAGATGTTGATAATGGAACATTCTTTTTGATATTACAGTTTCAACTTTCAAATTATAGCACGAGAGGAACACTACACATAAACCTTTTGTATCTGTTAAGAGCTTTGTAGATCCCTCTGTCTCTGTCCTTTCCTGCCCTACTTGATTGCTCCTGCCTTTCCATCAATTTTTCTATTTGATGGCATTCTATCTTATGAACATCCTCTTATGTTTATGTTGGTTAGTGATTTATGCTGTGTTATGCACTGTCTTGGCCCAGGCAGAAGAATCTACCAAGGGAATTGTTCAGTCAATCCCTATGCATCATTAGAAAGCCATTTCAGACATCAGTTAATTTGCAGTAACTTGAGAAGCCAGTATTTCCGCCTACTGCCTTGCCAAAGGATGAAACACTTATTTTTTCCGTAATTTATTTCCACATGTAGAAAAATATTATGGTCCAACATTACTATTTACAGTAGTAGGCATTCTGTATAGTTATCAGTCTGCGTAAGGCAGAACCCTAGAGAAGAAACTCTCAAAATCTTCTCCTCTTATAGGTTTTATTCATAGTAATACGCTCCAGTAGTTTGATTTAGACACATTCCAAAGACACAGGAGGATTTCTACTATATTTGTATGTGTCTTTTTATATGCTAATATCAGATTGCTGCTGTTTATCTATGTCTTTCATACTGTGATCATACAGGGTTTTGTAACTGGTGGAAAAGATGGAATTGTGGCACTTTGGGATGATATGTTTGAAAGGTGTCTGAAGACATATGCTATTAAAAGAGCAGCACTATCTTCTAGTTCCAAAGGTATTGTTTGTCATTGTGTTTTAATAGGTACTGTATGCATGAAGGCTGGTAAAATGGCAGTAATAAATGTCAGATCTTGTCAGAACACAAAAGGAACATTATTGAACTACTTACTATTCCGTGCTAGAGTCTTCCTATTTGGTTGAAATATCCCAGTCTTTGTCATTTTATAGTTTGTTCTGAAAATTCCTCCTCTATTCCTTGACCTTTAGCTTTGTTTTCACGAAAGAAATGATTTTAGGAACAAATATCACAAACCTGTGAATTTGGGTGTTCCAAAATATGTGTAGCAATTAGTTTCCACAAGTGGCTATATTTCCTATAGGAGGACTGTGGTCCCTGTGAATTGTAAAGACCTGTTCTGTACTTCCCCAGGCATCAGGATGGAAGTCTGTAAAGCGGTATTCATAGATGAGCACAGAATTACTGTCCTGACTGCTGCAGTTTGCAGAACTGCTTGTATGTTAAAACAGTAAAACTCCAGTCGTTAATTGCCACAGTACATACTACCACAAGCTCCTCTCCTTTGAACTGTTAATGAAAACCATGGATTATCTAGTATTATGATTATGTAAATTTATCTCATGTTTCATGGTTGATTTTAAACAAGTTTTAATTATATAAGCTGTATAAAGGTGAAATGAGGCTCTTTTTGGTTTCTCACACACACACAAAAAAACCTAAAATATCCTTTTATTCTTCAGGTTTACTTTTAGAAGACAATCCCTCTATTCGTGCCATCAGTCTAGGACATGGCCATATACTCGTGGGAACTAAAAATGGAGAAATACTTGAAATTGATAAAAGTGGTCCTATGACTCTGCTTGTTCAGGTACAATATGGGTCTTCCTATCAAAAACGTTTCCTGCAGAAGTACAGAGCATCATTGGATTTCCTCTGTCTTTTTCCTTCTGTTTTCATTAATCCTGTCGGCCACTGTTCCTTTCCTTGCACAGACAGAAGCTGATTCTTTGTTCTGTAAGTGACTTAGAGAGTCACTGTGGATTGCCTAATTCTGAAGTAAAAGAGTCCATTAAGTTAAATTGGTAGTGAGACTTACAAAGAATATTTTAGGCTTTTTAGGTAGGACCCAGTAGAGAAAAAGGAAAATTAGGGGTAGAGCTAACAGAGTTTATTTGACAGTGTTTGACCCATTTGCTTTGGCTGAGATGATGTAGTCTACTGTGAAGGTTCCTGTATTGGTGAAAGATGTTTTAGAGCCATAGTATTTTCCTGCAGCGACGTGCAGTTCTCATTGAATGTGTTGCAAAGGACAAAAAGATTTCTTCTGGCAAGGCAGAGGATTTTGTGAAGTTTGATTTAAAAAAAAAAAAAGATTCTTGACATGAATATGTTGATTTATGTGTGAGGGCTGCTCCAAAAGTAATGCCTCCTATTTTATTGTATCATGACATCAGAAGCAAATGTTGGAGGTATGGCTGTAGAGGTTGCAAGTTCCCAATGATATCCCATTACATCTTGTTGCCATGTGACAGATGGCAGCAGAGGGGCACTCTGACACAGTGGCATGTGACACGGAAGTGTGTATGAAGCAAAGGGTTGGAGCTGAATTCCTACATGTGGAAAAAATTGTGCCTATTGACACTTGTTGATGCTTGGTGAACACTGATGGAGATCAGACAGTCAATGTGGGTGGTGTGTTTCAGCAGTGGTGACAGCAACAATGGGCCACCTGAACTGGTGCAGATTGTTATGAGCGTGGCATGCAGGTTCTTGCTCATTGCTGGGAAAAATGCATAGCCAGTGGTGGGGGCTGTGTTGAAAGATAGTGTGTTGTGCTGAGAATTTGCTCTGTCAAATAGAACTCCTGTGCTCCTTGTAGCAATTTGTATTTTCCTGGGAATAAATCAGAGGTGTTGCATTAAGGGTGACCTACTTATTTCATGTTGCTTTGTTTTATTGTCTTTATTAAGCATGATGTCTATATGTAGAAATTTGTGTGCATCTTTTACTGAGGTATAATTTGTCAAATTTTACCTTATATTTTTTGTAACTGACCAAATTATTTTTCACAAAAATATTTGATATTTACTTTGTGATCAGAAGTAGTTGGAAAGAAAATCTTCCAGATTTGTATTGTTTTCATGACAGCATAAGTAACATAAATGTGAGAATTTTTATTAGTAATTTTTAACTAGCACAGTAATTTGGAGTTGCAATCTTATCATAGGGGCTATAGGAAAGAATGGGATAGGCTTTTTAGCAGGATCTGTTGTGACAGGACAAGGGGAAATTGTTTCAAACTAAAGGAAGGGAGGTTTAGATTAGATTAAAGGAGAAAGTTTTCAGCAATAAGGGCAGTGAGGCATTGGCACAGGTTGCCCAGAGAACCTTGCATGGGACTCTGAGCACCAGATCAGTCTGTAAACATCCCCTGTTCATTGCAAGGGAGTTGGAGTAGATAATGTTTAAATGTCCCTTCCATCTCCAGCAGTTCTGTTGCTCAATAATATAGTTCACACACCTTGTGAGTTTTATGATAAAGAAAAGTTTTATAAGTGTCATCTGGTTTAAATTGTATGTTTGTATGTATTAACTTGAGCAAAAATACATACTCAGGACACCAAGACAGTTCCTTCCTTTCCTGTTTTAACTGTATTTTTCTGTTTCAACAAACAAGGCAGTTGCCAAATTGAAATCCAGACTGAGAACAGTAAAAATGATTTAACGTTGAAATGATGCCTGCAAGTTATGTGCAAGTTGAAGAAAATGCAGGGAGAGTAATTAAAATTTAAAAACTGAGTTCTGAAGAAAGACTAGAAAAGCTAAGTAGGTGTACATTGGCCAATGTACAAGTTCTCCAGAATCTAAAAAGTTAGTAAACCTTGCAGACAGACTAGCCCATTTTAGGATTTCAAGAGAAAGGCCTACCTTGGGCTTAACTACTTCCTGTTCAGTTCAAGACTGAAAGAGGGAACATTGCCTTAATTGCCTTAATAATAATTACAGCTAGCAATTGTGGAGGCAAGTAGGGAAGAGTGTATTTCAGTTGGTTACTAGAGGAACCAGGCCAGGCATTCATGGTTTTGTGAACATAGAAAATTTTTGAGAGAAGATGGTAAAGATGTGTTGTCTGAGACTTGTAAAAGGAGGTAGGGCAAGTTCTAGAACACATTACATAAAGGCAAATGCGTGACTTTCTCATGTGTTAATGGCATCCTCTAGGGACATATGGAAGGAGAAGTATGGGGCTTGGCAGCTCATCCTCTCCTGCCTGTCTGTGCAACGGTGAGTGATGATAAAACACTTCGAATCTGGGAACTGTCATCCCAGCACCGCATGCTGGCAGTGAGGAAACTCAAAAAAGGTAATCCTCGTTTGGTGATTGCTGTGGTAACGACGGCGCTGCTTCTATAGCACACAGCATCAGCGTTAAGGGAGGAGGAGGGGGACAGTCATCAGGAAATTGGATGCATAGGAAGTAAATCATCTTTGGCAAGTCCGTGATAAGGGTAGAATGAAGGATTACAAATCATTGGAATGAATGATAATAAAAATAATTTAATGTGTTTTACTCTGATTCCAAGGGGAACTCAAAATCATTTTTCTTCCTATGAATGCTTAAGATCAGCGTATTTGTTGCTGACATTAAAATACTTACTTTTAAAGACAAATGTAAAATTTTCAGCATGTTAAGCACCATCAGCATTCAGTGACAACATGAACTTTTCACATTCAGCTTCTCTGAAAATGAATGGTTGTCCTGCCCTCTCTTATGTATAAAAGTAGCTGACGTATGCTGAAATACTGCTACCTTCTTATTTTGTACACGTTCATAACCTTCAGAAAATCTTATGGTGTAAATTCAATATGCTTCATTTTTGGTGACAGATCCAGAGCGCAGGAACTCTGAGGGAAAACAGAGTTGAATGTTTTGGGGAAGTGAACTCAGGGGAGGATGAGGATAGCTGTATGAGAATGTGGTCAGAAATAATGTTGGGGGCAGAAAAGGAAGTGGAGAAAATGTAGTGCATCTCTGTTTCAAATGTGTTCTCCCTGAGCACATTACTGAGTCATGGAACAAAGTGTAACATCCCTGAAAGACATGTCTGAAATGAGTCTTCAAACTTTTTAATCTCAATTTCCTTTTTGTGTATTTTCTTTATATGAAACAAAGGTGCTTAAAATGCTGTTGGCAGGTGATATTTGGACTGGTCAAATCATCTTGTCAACTCAAGAACAGCCTATACAAAGAATACATTCCCATTTAGGAAAATAACTACTAGCAGTTATCACAGAATATACTTATTTTAATAATCAAGAAATCTATTGATGCAGAAACCTTTCAGTTGCAGTTTTTCTCTCTTTTGGGGAGGGGGTTTCTCAATCCCAAATTCATAAACTTTAGGTTACACCCTTCGATCTTCCTTTATAGGTGGACGTTGCTGTGCCTTTTCTCCTGATGGAAAAGCCTTGGCTGTAGGATTGAATGATGGGAGTTTTCTGGTGGTAAATGCTGACACTGTGGAAGATATGGTATCTTTTCACCACAGAAAGGAAATGATCTCAGATATAAAATTTTCACGAGGTATAACTAGATAGCAAAGTGAAAGAGCGGTGTTTGTCTTGAGTTTGTTTTTCTACTCTAGCCATAAGTTTGAATGCTCAGAAGGTAGATTGGCTTTATGTGTCCTCCATATCTTTAAATACTTTACAATTCTTTATAGTTGTGTACAGCCTCATACACTGGGGTCCCTTAATTGAAGCTTTTGGGTGCACTAGAGTAATAAAAATGCATAACAATATATGTCTTTCATAACCTCAATGTCTCTTCTTTACAGAAACAGGAAAGTACCTTGCTGTGGCTTCCCATGATAATTTTGTAGATATTTACAATGTACTTACCAGCAAAAGAGTGGGCATTTGTAAAGGTGCATCTAGCTATATCACACACATTGACTGGGACTCAAGAGGTAAAATGTTTGACCAGAAATACAGATTTAAAATTCCTGCAAGAGGGAATATCAGATAATTGTTCTCATAGCAGTAACTGAAAATACTGTAAGACTAAACTGTAACTACTAATGCAAATGTTTTCTCAACATCAAGCACCATACAGCTTCAGTACAATTACATTTGTTGGTAGAATTAATCTTTACTTATACCAGAGTATGTTGCACTCCACCAACAATAGTGTATGACTAAAATGTTACTTAGGAACATAATATTGCTTTTCTTTGCTCTTTTTTTTTTTTTTTTTTTTTTTTTTTTTTTTTTTTTTTTTAATTTGGGACTGTGTGGCACATTTTCTTCTTCACCTTTTATATTTAATTTCCTTTCCTCCTTGCTGAGCATTACTTGGCAATCACTGCTGTGAAGTTAGAGAGCCTTACTGTCAAAACTAATTAAGCCTAGAAAGATTGATAATGAGCTTATGCAATAAGCCTTCCTGGATCTAATATGATTCTGCATGGAACCACCTGTGTGTCTGAGCCCTGCTTCCACTGTTACACTAGTCCCAAAGTGTGGTACAAGTTACCTGACTGTGACAGCAGCTAAACTCTCCTTGGAATCCATTTGGGTCTGGGTGCCATTCTTGAGCTATTAAGCCACACAGTTACTCAGCTGGCTCTGGGTGCTTGTTTACAATGCCAATAATCTAAGTACTCATAGTTGTACCCATAATAATAGCAGTTTGTCGGATAAGTCCCTGTGTATCTGTATTAGTTAACTAATGGATGTGTTGTGTGGGTAGATGTAAAAGATAAGAAAATGGAAATTCTTTAGTGTTCTTAATTGTATTTTACCAAAACTAGACATTAGTGATAGGACGAGAAGCCCCAAGTTGCACCAGGGGAGATTCAGGTTGGATGTTAGGAACAGTTTCTTCTCTGAAAGAGTGGTCAGCCACTGGAATGGGCTGCCTAGGAAGGTGATGGAGTCAGCATCCCTGGAGGTGTTCAAGGAACGTGTAGTGTGGTAATAAGGGACGTGGTTTAGCGGGGAAACATTGGTGGATGGTTGGACTGGTTGATCTTGGAGGCCTCTTCCAACTTTGGTGATTCTGTGATTTGGAGAAGCTTCTTCTGTTAAGATTTCTTACATACAGGCTTAGCTACCTTTTATTTCTTGCTAGTTATTTTATTCTCCATTTCCTGATTGTTCTTAGTGGATGACTGTATCCCTTTCTTTTGTATTGCTTGGGGTTTTCTCAGGATTTATGTTCATTTCTTTGCTCCATCTCTGCTTCTGCAGTAATCACAAATGCAAAAGAATCTCCAGAAAATATTTTCTATGGGGTGTATGATTCATTTTCTTCTCTACAACATAATAGCACATTGCAAAAAGTCAAGAACAATAAAATAGTCATATGGGCATCGCAGGTACTGGTGGTACAATGAAACTCTAACTGAACTTCTAGCTGTGAAGGATTAATGTGTGATACAGGTCAGATAGGAAGGCCACGTTACTCCTGTGGTCTTATATTTTACTTTTTGATTCAAAGAGGCTCAATATAAATCAAAAGAAAACGGTTTGCTGGAAAACCAATTCTTCAAGGATGCTGAATCATGTTTAAAATATTACTGTGTAGTGAATCAAGGGTGTAGGATTCTTCAGGAGTGATCATAAGCATCTTCTTTACTTTTGCTATAAATAACTCTGTGGATGATAATTTGTTAACATGCTTCTTCATTCAATAAAAAGTTAATTATATTCATAATAATGAATAAGATCTGTAACAAATTCTTATTTTATATCCAGGAAAGTTACTGCAAGTCAATTCTGGTGCTAAGGAACAACTGTTTTTTGAAGCACCAAGGGGGAAAAGGCATGTCATAAGAATTGCTGAGGTATGAGTTGTACTTACTGTATTTCTTTCATTGTGACAGTTATTTTTCTAGACAGCTCAAAGTTAGCATATGTTTTGTTTAAAGGTTTTTTTCCTTTAAAAATACTATATTTACAGTGTTTAGATTTAGAATCATTTATTCCTTCCAGCTTTTGTAAATATGAGGATTTAAAGTTTTCTGTTTGTATCTCTACATTTTTTTGTTGTTGTTTAATAGTGATGGTTTCCCATAAGCTCCTTTCCGGAACAGCCACCTGTTGTCTTTGTAATCAGTGTGCATACGGTTTTAAAATCAGCTTTAAACAATATGACATGGTTTTTAATGGCATAAGTTGTGATACATAAGTGTTGTACAGAGCTGGCAGTATTTAATGTCTCATTAAAAATTGAAGGAGATTTGTATCTAAATCATGCTTACCTTTGGGAAGTGGGAATGTTTAAAGTTACTTTTAAGGCTTTTGATGCAGAAGTGTAATTTGTATTAACTAGCTGGAAACAGTGAAAAATCTCTAAAAACATATAAAAAATTAAGTTAATATCAGACACTGGAGAAATATAAACATTAGAACAGCATGTATCAGGTACGTATTAAGATGACTTCTTTGAGTGAAATTTTCATTGCAGTTGGAGAAGATTGAGTGGGATACCTGGACGTGTGTTCTTGGTCCTACTTGTGAAGGAATTTGGCCCATGCACAGTGATGTCACTGTTGTAAATGCTGCTACTCTTACAAAAGATGGAACATTACTAGCTACAGGAGATGACTTTGGTTTTGTGAAGCTTTTTTCATATCCAGTGAAGGTAATGTGTGTTTATTTGCCTTTTTAGACACTAGTGGAGAAAAAATTAGGGAAGACAGTGTTGGTGACGTATCAAACTGCTGATATGTGTGTTCTTTGTACAACAGGGCCAACATGCAAAATTCAAAAAGTATGTGGGTCACAGCGCACAGGTAACCAATGTCCGGTGGTTACACAATGATTCCGTGCTGCTGACTGTAGGTGGTGCTGATACAGCTCTGATGATCTGGACCAGAGAATTTTTGGGCATTCAGGAGAGTAAGCTGGTTGATAGTGAAGAATCAGACACAGACGCAGAAGAAGATGGAGGTAAAAAAAGATGATATAACACACATTTTTAACTTAGTCTTTGATCCACAGGCCTCACACACGTTTAGGTTGAAGTCAGCGTGATAAAGTTCAGCGTAGGGAGAGCTTGGTAGGATTGTTTTCTTCTGTTGGTGTTTTCTATTCCTCCACCGTGAGTCAAGGGTAATTTGTTTTACTCTGCTTTACATTTTAAGGTTATGATAGTGATGTTGCAAGAGAAAAAGCAATTGATTATACCACTAAGATCTATGCGGTAAGCATCCGAGAAATGGAGGGGACAAAGCCACATCAACAGCTGAAGGAAGTTTCAGTAGAAGAGAGGTATGTCACACAGGGGCGTTCATTTCCAAATGTAGATTGCATTCTTCTGAATCTCTTTTCACTCAACTAGAACTGGTCTTTAGAAATAAGACAGGAATTTTGAAATTCATAAGATAGTATTTAAAATGCTCCTGGTCAGTTACAATATGTTGGTGTGATGGCTAAAAGCATGTATGTGACTAAAACACCTGCGAGTGTAGTCTTCTCTCCTGTTCACATTTGCAGTTATTTTCGGTTCTGATCACAGCACGCGGGCATTTGTCTGCAGCAAGGCATTTGGGAAAGGAGGAGCCTGTAAATCCTGTGTAGTTGAGGCTCTTGGTGACATTTTCATGAGGAGATTGTCAGTTACTTAAAATTTTGTCAGGCTGTTACTACAGCACATGTTATTTGGGGAAAACAAAACAGCAGTAAGCTGGAAAACATCAGTGGATGGGAAGAGAAGACAGTAAAGAAAAGAGGTAATAATAAGTGTAGAGAGTGGGGTCCAGTTGTCTAGGGGAGTGGGTAAGTAAAAAGTCTGTTTGGGGCAGGACTGCTGGGACAGGAGAGGAGGATCTATAGCCAGTAACTTGGAACTGGATTCAGGATCAAGAAATCTGTACAGAGTGCTCTCCCATTGATCAAATAGCTGTGGCATTTACTGGTAACAGTTGTATCTTACTCCCCTTTTGGGATGAAGTTGTCTGAAGGATTAAGGTCTGTGAATACTGGTGGGTACTTCCTCAGTTCTTTACTGTACACCTGTACAGTAGAGCTACAAATGTGTATCTGGATGATGACTCAAAGCGTGAATCTGTGCTGTTTCTTTTGTTGGAATCTTTTTTTTTTATACACAAGTATAAATTTGGTGTGAGTTTTCTTGCTTTTGCCTCCTTGGGGCAAAAATTAATAACTTTGCACTCAGTTTAATAATATGAGAAGAAATGTTGGGTGTGGAAGATGAGATATGTTACCCCCTTTCAGTTATTTTTTTCATGGCAACATTTCAATAAAGATGTAGCATGAATCTTAATGTTTTTTATTAAATATTGGTCCATAACCCATTTGTCTCCCCTTCTTCTAAAGATAGTTCTTTCAACTTGTTTACTCATGTGAAGTCTCTTCTCCATTTTTCTGTAAAAAGGCAGTTTATTATCTACCAAACACAGATGTGCTGAGAATGAATTGGAAAGAGAACTTAAAATTTCCATTTTTGGGACATACTGCTAAATTATTATTACACGTGAAATAACAAATATCAATAGTAGGATGGACAAATGTTTTACACCAAAAACTTTTCTACCTTCCAGCTGCTTTATTCAGCCTTGATGCAAGAGCAAATGCAGAATGAGTGTAATTGACCGATTAAGCCTGGCTTACAATTGGTTTGTGCTGGTGAATTACCAACAATATAAGCATGAGGGTTTTTTTTCTGCAGCTTTTCAGCACTACTTTCAGTCTAGGACTGAAAATCACCACAGCCCTCAGGAACTTTTCTTTCTCTGGTACCTGGCCATGTGTCTGCTGTCAGATGCAAGCGAGTGCTCTGTTTCATGGAGACTGCCTCACTCTGTCACATATCCTGAAGGCTTTGTAGCTTTTGAGTCCACAGTCCTACACTGCACAAGCTGACCTAGCTGAACGTGCTTTGTTGCTGTGGAAGAAGGCACCCTTTGAAATGAATGTATCCACAGAGCAGCGTGCAATGAGGAAAATGAAACAGGCTTCCTGTTTGTCACACATTCATAATCCACAGTGCAATGTTCCTCATGCTGTCCAAAACTGTGAACTCACACTGGAGCAGGAAGCTCCTCTACTATGGCCAACTGCTTCCTCGCTGCCCATCCTGATTATAGCTGGTGGTCCTAAATGGGTAGACACCTCCTCCGTGGTGAGGTTGCCTTACACTTCCGTAACGCTTTTCATAATGCTTGTACGTAAAAGTAAAATACTGTAGCTATTGGAAGGAATTATCCATCCCATAAGAGAGCAAAAAGGTAATTTTTAATGTTCTCTGTACTTTTTTCCTTCATACTATCTCTATATAATCAACAGGTTTGTGTAGTACATTTTAAAGTAGCTGGGGAAAAAACACAGAACTGTCTTTACCATCTTTTCTCCTAAAGAATCACAACTATTCTCATCTTTATATATAAACTCTTTTGGTTTCGGTTACTTTAATATGATGGCATTTTCAGTATTTGGAATTTGTTTTTCTGATAAGTTTGTCAGAAATCCCCTTACCTTTCATAAGTAGCTCGTTAGGAAAAGAAGCATTTGCTTCCTTCTCTCCATCCCGTTCATATAAATTACTAGAATTTGTAGCCAAATAATTAGAAGCAGAAAATTTATGGTGAAATGTAGCAAAACTGCAGTTTCTGGACATATTGTGCTGGGCTTTGTGGAAAGTGGTGGGTTTTGGATGCAGAAAGATGAGATTAATGTGTTGGCTACTGCGTTTGCCAAAGACTTCAACTATTGACCACAGCTGTACGAATTTGTGCACGATTTATCCAGAATCTTGACACTCAACTCTGAGTGCTTCAGGGTGAAGCTGACTTTTCTCTAAGACATTTGAATGATGACTTAAGTTTCCTAACTGTGCCAGATTTCATCTTTTCTGAGGATACAAAGAATGCAGCAGCTAATGAAATATGTGTCCGACTGTGTTCCAAAAGCTTCCTGAAAGCTTCTCCTTCCCCCTGTGAGGGTCCTAAGTGAAAGCTGAGCCAAACAAAATAAAAAGCCTACAAATACTCAGCTGTCAGTGTCCAGGAAAGGTTCTAAATCAACAGGCCTTCAGGATATGGAGTCCTCAAGTATCTGTGCACTGGGTTGAGTGAGATGGCATCGAGTAATATTCACACCAGTTTGCAAAGCTTTACTTTTTCTGCAAAGGCACTGCTGAAAGTAGCCTTTCCCAGTTCCTTCAGATGTGAAGAAGGGGACCAAGAGGATGTATACCATTCTCTTTCACGCAGCTATGTGGGAAACGCTGGTGGTCTTTAGAGGGGAAAAATATCCCAAATCCAAAATCTTTCTTCTTTATAATTGTGTCATATGTCTGTAAGAAGACTCCAAAATGAATCTGTGAAGGTGGTGAGAGGCTGAACAGGCTGCCCAGTGATGCTGTGGATACTCCTTCCCTGGAAGCATTCAGGGCCAGGCTGGATGGGGCTGTGAGCAGCCTGGTTTAGATGAAGGTGTCTCTGCCTATAGCAGGGAGTTGGAACGAGATGATCTTAAAGGTCCCTTCCAACCCAACCCATTCTATGATTCTATGAACCAAGGATTGTGCATCTGTTGGGATTTGCATACTACAGATGCTCTGAGATCTTCACATGTTGTATAAATTTTGAAAATTATGTTACAAGGCCATTCAGGTTTGCAAGAGTGAAATAATCACAAGGCCTCAAAAACTGCCAGTTTGCTTCATTGCAAAAGCAGTCAGGATCTTGACAGTCAGTCAAGAAGAAAGAAGTGTCCCTCCTTGCTGTATTTTCATTATGTCTGAGAAAGCAGAACATTTGAGTTTTCACTGGTATAGGGTAGAAGCAAATTAAACAAATTAAGTCTAAATTAGAAAAAGGAAAGATAAAAACAGGAATGTTTCCAGCTTCTAGTAGAGAGGGATAACTGGAACTGTTGATTTGAGCTTCTTGGGAACAAGGACTTTAAGCTTGCTTCATTTCTTTCTTTGAATAGTAATATTTTGAAGGTAAATTGTTTCTGAACAAGTTACCTCCCTGTTTATAAAACACAAATATGCTTCAAATGTGATGTGATGCCTAGTAGACAGTTCTGATTCAGGAAAATGGTTGTTTTGTTTTCCTTTTTATTGTAGCTAAATTTTATTTAACAGGGAATTCAACTTTTGTGTTTGCTAGAATAAGCTAATAAGCTTGCAGGACCCTGTTAAGAATGGTATGTCTGAAAAACTCAAAGTGCATTTTGCCTCTAAAAATAACAACTTGTGGTACGATTCAGGATGAGTTTGGTCTAGAGCTGTGTCAATGCCTCCTGCCAAGATGCAAGTATATGGATGAGAGCTGATGTGGGCAGTGCTGGGTTTTGAAGGGAAGGGTTTGCAACAACCACCACCCATCTGGAAAAGAACCAACAACTTACAGATGACTTTCTGCAAATTAACACAAAGGCTTTGTCTTTATGCCACAAGAGAGGAGCCAGCAGCTCTCTCACATCACAGGAGGAAGGGTAGGAGGACAGGTTTGACATACTGCTTGATTGAGGAGGACTGTGACTTTGAGCAGCTGCTGTGAACCCTCTTTTACTGCTTAGCAGGTGTTCTATGCTCAGCATAATCCAGCAAAATGAAAAGGAAATCTCTATTATGCTGACCTTCTCCAGAGCGTTGGGCCCCTAAGCAAAGTCAATGGAGAAATTTCATGATTGTAAAGGCCAAAATACTCAGAGGTGACAATCGTGGGGATAATGTTAAGGAGTTGCCCTTAGAAAAGAAAATGAAAGCCCTTTATCAAATGTACTTCTCCTGTCTTATTTATTTACATAAGAAAGTAATGATCATTCTGCAAATGTCTCAGAGGGAGGTAGAAAGTACACAGTAGATCTTGCCTGCAGAATTTGAAATAAATTGTGGTCTAGTATTTTTGTGCCCAGCTTTGTCATCGCTGCCAGGAGTTACAGCTTTAGGATGGAAAAGAAACAGGAGAGATGAGTCTGAGTGACAATATCTAAATGTGTTGTGGTTGTATTAGTTGGTGCATTTGGTTAAGATAATTAATTGATTGTTGTTTCTCTCTCCCCAACCTTCTTGTTTTTCTTCTTCTCCCTTTCCGTGTCTGTCCTCCTTTCCTCCCCCACCCTTATTTTTCTCTTCCTTTCTTGCTCCTCTGATTGGCATTCTCTTCCTTGCTCCACCTGTGTGATGCAGAAGTGGGGTGCCAATGAGAGGTGCTGCAGGAGCAGTCTCACGGTGTGGGAGCTCCAAGAGCAGTGCTCCCACACCGCGGGACCCCTTGGGCACTGCTGGGACTGTC